TGTTTGGAACTACAGTTACTTGATTTGCATTTCGTATAGTCTTATATATTTGCTAATTAGAAGTATGAATTGGGCCCAAGGCCGTTTGGAGCATGTTGTTCTACATATTGTTATGTAACTGTTATATTTGAATATGTGGTTTTGAAGTTCTATCTGTTCACCGTAGGAATATTTGTTTGAATAATCTTTTTTGGAAATTGAATTGAGGGCCTTACTGGCCACAGAACCCGGAATTGATTTCGCCATTGTGACTGGCATAATTTTTAGAGCCTACGGTGAAATTTAATTAGAAATTGATTCGGGTCAGATTAAGTTGATTAAATTGATAATTTAGTGCCCAATTGTTTATTATTATTATTTTGGAATAGTGGGGTTTGATGTAAAAGGGCACTACACCCTCAATTCCTTCCCTTATGTGGCTTTGGCTGATTAAACTCTCTAGAGAGAGTGAGAGACCCGAAATTGAGAGAGAAGGGGAAATCATCTAAGTTTGCTCTTGAAGCTTTGGAGTCTGGATGGCTAGCTCAAGAATTAACCATAATTGTGAAGATTAAAGCTCTTTGGTGAGTAAATTTGTAAATTCAGAGTTGAATAAGAATAAAGAACATGAATTTAATTGAGTATGATGAAATTGAATTGGTTTTGCTGAATTGAAGGCTAAATTGTGCATGCATGTAAGAAGTTGTCTTAAATTGCATGTTTGAGCACAAATACGTATAATCCATGTGAAATGTTAAAGGAAACTCATGTTTTGACCACCTCTTCACCAAATGAGTTGAGAATGGTGAGCATCTCCCACATGCATGTACAAATTATGGGAGAGTAAGTCTTGAATGTTTGAATTTGAGCATGTTGGTGATGAGTTTGACATATTTTGGGGTATACATGTGAATTAATTGTGAATTGAGCTTCATTGGGTTGTGATTTAAGGTTTACATCATGTTAGTATAATTATATTTGAGATTTGAGCCATAACATGCATGTTTTGTTGGTTGAAAATCGAATTGGAGCTCAAGAACACAGTTCTGGGTTTTCCAGAATTTTGAGGTCCGCTCGAGCGGGGAACCTGACGCTCGAGCGAGAAATGCGTGCTCCCAGTATTTTTTGCAGACTTGATGTCCGCTCGAGCGGGGTAATTCACGCTCGAGCGGGGGAGCTATTTTTACAGGCCTTCCGCTCGAGCGCCCTATTTAATGCTCGAGCGTATTTTTGATGCAACCAGTACTTTTGCAGGCCTTAAGGGTAAGCTCGAGCGGGGTATTCTACGCTCGAGCGGGGATCCTGTTTTCTAAAACTTTGAAAATGCATTCTGTGTTATATCTTTCCGTTCTCTTTTACTTGTAAGCACTCTTAGGCATGCATTGAGCATTGTAAATGAGTTAACGAGTTAAAAATAAAGCCTAAAGAGGAATATGTGAATTAGAGAACGGATTGAATTGTTAGTGACCCTTTTGTGTTTATGAAATATGTAGGGCCAAGCTCCAGGACAAATCCACAAGCCGATCACTGTGAGTAATATCGATATTTGAATGATTGTGAATGTCCAATTATTATTCCCTTATAAGCTTCATAAGTTGCTAATTGGGATTGTGGACAAAAGTCTGACTGGAATAAACATAAATGGACCAAAGGTCGTTTCGATAAACATAAATGGACCAAAGGTCGTTTTGATAAACATAAATGGACCGAAGGTCGTTTTGATAAACATAAATGGACCTAAGGTCGTTTTGACATGAATGAGTGGGCCGAAGGCCGTTTTGACAGATTGCACAATCAATGTGAATTAGAAATGAGTGGACCGAAGGTCGTTTTGATATATATGAATGGACCTAAGGTCGTTTTGACATAAATGAGTGGGCCGAAGGTCGTTTTGACACGAATGTATGGGCCGGAGGCCGTTTTGATATAAACGAATGGACCGAAGGTCGTTTCGATATGAATAAGTGGACCGAAGGTCGTTTTGATAGAAATAAATGGACCTAAGGTCGTTTTGATATGAATGAGTGGGCCGAAAGCCGTTTTGACACGAATGTATGGGCCGGAGGCCGTTTTGACGTAAACGAATGGACCGAAGGTCGTTTCGATATGAATAAGTGGACCGAAGGTCGTTTTGATAGAAATAAATGGACCTAAGGTAGTTTTGACATGAATAAGTGGGCCGAAGGCCGTTTTGACACGAATGTATTGGCCGAAGGCCGTTTTGACGTAAACGAATAGGCCAAAGGCCATTTTGACAGAAATGAATTGGCCGAAGGCCGTTTTGACATGAATGGAAATCTGAAGGGGCCAAAGGCCAGAATGTTTTGAACTACAGTCACTTAATTTGAATTTCGTATAGTTATATATCTGTTAAATGGAAATATGAATTGGGCCTAAGGCCGTTTGGAACATGTTGTTCTACATTGTTATGTAACTTCTGTATTTGATTTGATATTATTCACTGGGCTTTTGCTCACGCTCATTCATGTGTTTGTAGGTGAGCCAAGAGAGGTCTAGACCCAGCCTCAGTGAAGTCTGTATGGAACAACTAAGGTTTTGAGAGAGTCAGCCCTTGTGTCTCACGCACGAGACCCGTCTTCGCCTTTTTGTTATGTATTTACATTTTGTCAGGTTGGCGAAATTTTGAATCCGTCTGTATATAGTTTTCATGGGTTGACTTAGTTTGGATGATCCTGTCTGTATAGAATCTTATGTCACTACAGTTTCTGCTGTGAGTTATTAACATATGTATGTCTGGAATGTTATGGTGTGCATATAAGCACGGCTCTATGGACAAAGTTTTAAATTTTGCTTCCGTTTGGCCCCTTTTACTCTGATGAGTTTTGTCTTATTTGGTTTGAGGTCGTAGGTAATCTCGTGATTACTGGCCGGTTATGGCCTTAACCCATAGGGGCGGGTTCGGGTCGTGACAGGAGTGGTCTGGGTTTGATTTGAACAATCGGTTAGGGGTGTGGAAGTTGATGACTTCAGTGGAGAAAGAGAAGATCAGAAACGCGTATGACAAAGATGGGGACAGGTATGTAATGTGCGTGTGATGGAAATGAAGTTGGGTGTGTGTGTACATTTGTTTGACATGCATTATGTGTTTTACTTGTAGCGCAGTGATGTGGGCTAGTAGTGGACATGATGTGTGTGTGTCTACTTTGTGGATATTAAGTCGCTTGTTCGACCATTGTCATTGCGTGGCAATGTAAGTAACTGGTGTAAAGTTGTAATGTTATTGTTTGAATGTATATTTTGTTTAAAGTTTACCGTTTTGTGGCAGGTGATAGATGCGTACGCAGTCTTGTTGATGGAATAACAAGATAGACTTGCTGTTAGAGTGGAGTTCCCGGACAAGTCATGTTTTTAGTAGCATATGCCTTGTGAGTTTTTGAAGTTGTTTTTAAAGTTACATTGGAAAGTTTTGTGGTGCATGGTTGGAACGATTAAAATCTTATAATCTAACGGGTGAAATAATGATGCAGAATATGTTAAAAAACGATAACAGTAATGCACAGGACAAATTCGTGCTGGACAACTTCGCGACATGTAAAGATTGTCGGTACGTCCACTTCCCTATTTGTTTCCGAGCACACTGGACGTTGGTTGTTTATGACACTAAAACGGGTGTCTGGAACCATTACAACTCTATGAGGCCCCGGGTTGGACTAGAAAACAAGCACCTTAAGGAGGCAGTGTTTGTGGTGAGTTAAATGTATCATTATATGTGTGGGGTTGATGTGTTTTTATGTGTCTTCATTGTGTGTGTTTGGTAATGGTAGGGTATTGTTTTACAGAGGGATACTATTATTGAAATCCAGCAAGGCGCAGTTGGCGTATTGGGCGATGACGACGCAACGCAGTTTGGTCAATTAGGTGTGGAGGCAGTTACTGACTGCCCGCAGCAAAAACACGACTCATACATGTATTGTCCAAATTAATTTGATAGTACATACATAAAATGTAATGTGGTATATGGTTTGTTGGAGGAGTTAATAAATTGTTTTTGTTTGTGTTGTCGCTCATTGCAGGGAGGACTGTGCAATCATTATGTGTGTTGTGATGCGGCAGTATGTACATCATGTGGACGTGAACAGATCGTTGCAGGGGGATAACTGCATCATATTGCGCGCCAACATGGTTAAAGGTATTGTGAACGACCACGGAAGGGGTCTGAAAGATAGTGCATGAAGTATGGAGCTGTTTGGTTTTTGTGATTGGGGTTGATTTGTCGGTTGGGTTTTCTTTTGGCAGTATGGTGGCGCTACGTTATATTTCACTTTTTTGTGGGGTTTTTTTTTTTTGCACAGGGATGAACTTATTTTGTTAAGTTTGTTAACTTTTTTTGTGAATGTTTTGGTTGGTTTTAACGTTGGGTATTAAATTGTGAATGACAGTAATTACATATGGAGGTTATGCGATTATGTGTTATGTTACATTTGACTTTGTGTTTCATTCATTTACTGCTTAGGAATTTTGTGTGTTGAACATGTTGTGTTGCTTAGTAACAGCTTTTGAATTTTGTATGTTGGACATATTTGTTGGACAGAAGTGGAACAGGTATCACGTAGTTGTGTGATGGTGTATGAATAGTATTGCATTTAGCATGTAAAATGAAGATATTGTGACAATGTGACTTTGTGAAACTGCTAAGGGTTAATGGTATTACTGGCTTGTGTATGGACATTACATTTGTTGTGGCAATTCATAGTAGTGGGTAGTGGTGCAATTTGTGTGTTGTTATGTATTGTGTGTTCCCGCTGAAAGAAAATTTCATTAAAATAGGAATCAATTTAAGGGAATGGATAATTGAAAACGATGTGAAGGAGAAAGGTAAATGAGTATACCACTACATTATGAATGGGGCACTGTTATGGAACATTGTCCACAATGCGAAAAGTACTTTGAAATTAAATCCATACATGGAAAATATGTGTAACCCATAATTATTAACTAGGAAAAATAAAGTAATGCAGAAAGTACTTGGAAATTAAATGCATACATAGGGAATATGTGTAACTCATGATTATTAACTGGGAAAAGTAAAGTAATAAAAGTGTCAAATAATGTGTTTCCACATGATTGGGTTGATCTGCTATATCAGTTCTTTGTAGGTCTTTCAGTTGTGGTGTCCAATGCGACCGCACCTGCTGCAACGTATTGGTTGGACTTTCTCACCGCGTGACGGTATCCTCTTTTTCTTGGGCCTGCCAGGTGGTCATTTGATAGCGGGTGGCAGTATGATCAACTTGTGTGTGTCGATGGGTGGTTGTTCCACTGTTGGGATTGGTGTAATCGTTGGGCTGTACGACAAGCGATATTTTGAGGAATGGAAGTAAGGCTCGATTAATGTGTACAAATCTTGTCCACTTTTTCGAGCAGCAACAATGGCATGTGAGTATAGGAACCCGTTAATCTGCCACTGGAAACACGAGCATGTGCGGCTGTCAACATCGACCATTACGGACGGGTGTGAGTGTACCTCGTACACGGTGGGGCTTGATTGGCTTACAGTCCATGACCTCCCGTCATTGTATGACTTTTCTAGGAGTTTTTCCATTTTTGGGCATAACACTCCATGCCATTTTTGTGACGTTTCCCGCCTAGTTGACATTTGTCGCATTATTTATGCCCTTATACTGTCCACCAAACGGGTTATCGGAAGGTGACGTGCCTCGGAAATCCAGTTGTTGAAGGATTCGGCGGCATTGGAGGACATCTCGCCGTACCGGTTACCTCTGTATTGCAATGTGTTTCACAATATAGCAGCAGCATTAGTGTAGATAATTTAATGTAACACGACGCAGTCAATGTTTTGTATTGTTTATATACAAGTGGGACATGTAAAGGTACGGACCTGAAATAAGCATTTGCCCAATGTTGTGGGGGTATTTTGATGGGTAGAAAATTGACTGGATTATGTGACTATACTGGGCTCGACTCATAAACCTACATTTTGTGACTAATTTGGAACTTTTGCGTAACCGACGCTATCTTATGTACAATCGAGGAACTCTGTTTAATGTGTTACTGTGTACCATGTGCTTGTATATAAGACTTGTTTAGGAATTGCTGCATTGATTATGGTGCATACCTCTTAATCTGAATAGCTGCACGTTTATGCAACTACCCCCGAATTTATGTAGTTGATGCCATATTGTACATGACTTGAAATGCTTTGATATGAACAGTTGTGATGAATAATTCTTGAGAACTGATAAACTTAAGATAGTTGTGAAACTATCAGCCGTGTGCCTAAACAAACGAAGTGAGCCTCACAGAACCGAATGTACCCCATTTGAGAAAACTTTTATCTGATTCAGTCCTTTAGAACCTTTGCCTGATATTGTTCCGATGGAACCCACATTTGATATAATTTGATGGAACCTTTGTTTGATCTAATCTGACAAGACTTTTGCTTGGATTGACCGATAAGACCCTCTATCTAATTTGATTTTGTAAAAAGGGGATTAAGAATTGCTTGTGAATAAATAGCTAGATTATTCTTGGCAGAAAAACTGATAGACCCAAAACTTGAATTCGTTTGGAATACTCGACTTATTGGATAGATCTTTTGTGGACTATCAACAGATTGACCTAACCAAACGCATCATTGAGAACCAATCCCTAACTATTGAGGACATATGTGTTAAAAATGAACCGAATTGTACAAACCCCGTGATTGGGTGTCGTAAGGAGTGTTGTTCCATTTTGTTTGTTTGACGCTATGGGAACCGATGACGGTAGATTGATTTGATTTTGAGTAGTACTGAACATTTGTCTTTGACTGATCAAAACATGTTTTGTAAGGGAGAGTGGTTGCTTCAACGCTATCAGATTTTGGGGAAATCAGGTTATAGTGAATGGTGTTGTGTTGCTTTGATGACATTCTTAGAGTGTCCTTTCGTGCTAGGGGACGTTAAGCCTATGTAGCACCTTTGATTGAGATACCTTTTGCTACCGACGGTTTCGTACGGGTGGGTTTGACTAATCGATCTGGAATCGGCCACCGATGGTCGCGAACGGGTGTGTTTCGATTTCGAGACGATTATTCCTTTGTTTTGTTCGGAATGTCATCCTTTGGTATTATGTAAATGTTTTAACATCCAAGAAACTTTGAAAAACCCTGATTGTCCGAAAAGTGCGTGAATTCGGTACGCTTTGTATATAACCACCCAGTGTCATTATATTCTGTGATTGGAACCCTGAGAATGTGTGAATTGTGTTTGACATGCGATTGACTCCTTTGATAATGCCTTTGACGTCATGGGGATTTACGTATATGAATTGCCTTATGCTTTTGACGACTTTCAGATAAAGTAGAAAGACTCGATGGAACAGAGAATTGAATATTGAACTGAATTGTGAATTGCAAACTGTAAACTGTTGAATGAATGAAGAACACGTGTATTCTATTAGAAGTCGACTGCCTTAGTGTTATTGTATTTTACAATTGGTACTATGGGGATATAAGTTACGTATGTCGTGTGGTTGATCACTTCGTTGTTATCTTTGTTAACTCGGGAATCAGTGCCTGAATTCACTTTAAATTCCTAAAGACTTTTGATTAACCTTGAATAGCTATAATGAGCTACTGAAAATACCGAATCGGATTGTGTATTGTGGAATTATTGAAAAATGAATTGAACTTTTGTGACAAGGGAATGAACCGAACTTCTATGATAAAGTTGGCTGGCATCTGAAATGAATATGTTGGTGACTTACTTTGAAAAGGGCAATTATTGAAATTGTGTCTAAATATTTTCGGTAGCTATAAGTCGAAGTTGAACATCAGGTATAGACGGGGCTACTTCGACGTCCCTCTATTCCGGAATGGAATTAGGGATATGTGACTATGAATTTCATTGTGGGGCTACCTTAAGTACTCAAGGTGTAAGTCCCATTTGGGTTATTGTATGAAGAATTACTAAATTCGCTCATTTCCTTCCTGTGACATTTTCATAAGATGCTTGTAGACTAGTCACTGTTATACCAATAAGATTGCTCGTTTGCATGAGGTCCCAGTATCTATTGTTTTAGACAGAAATTTTAAAATGTATTTGAATTTTGACAAGCCTTCAAGAGGCAATGAGAACTGAATTGGGATTCAGCATTACTATCCATCCATAGATTGATGTATAGTCAGAAGGAACTATTTAGACTCTAAGAGAAATGCTCCGAATGTGTACTTTAGATCTTGGAGAAGTCAGAAAAATCTGTCCATTGTTGGCAGACTTTGCTTACAACAAAAGCTTACGCTCTAGTTTTAATATGGTACCATACAAGCTTTGTATGGAAGAAAAGATAAGTCTCTGACTGGTTGAGAACTGAGTTTTGTTTGACTTTGGGGCTAAGTAAGTGGCTATCAAAAAGGATTGAAACCATTGAATGAAAAGTGTTCCGAATTATGCCTGACTAAAGATAAATTAAGTTTGAAGGACCAAACTTCCTAAATGGGGGAAGACTGTAATACCTCTGTTCCGTAATACGTTAATTGGTCCTTAACATGATGTGATTATGTGTTTTGATATGATTTTGTGTTCCATTATGTGAAAATGTGTGGTTTTGAAGTTCTATCTGTTCACCATAGGAATATCTGTTGAATAATCTGTCTTGGGAATTAAATTGAAGGCCTTATCGGCCACAGAACCCGAAATTGATTGCGCCATTGTAATTGGCATAATTTTTAGAGCCTACGGTGAAATTTAATTAGAAATTGATTCGGGTCAGATTAAGTTGATTAAATTGATAATTTAGTGCCCAATTGTTTATTATTATTATTTTGGAATAGTCGGGTTTGATGTAAAAGGGCATTACACCCTCAATTCCTTCCCTGATGTGGCCTTGACTGATTAAACTCTCTAGAGAGAGTGAGAGACCCGAAATTGAGAGAGAAGGGGAAATCATCTAAGTTTGCTCTTGAAGCTTTGGAGTCTGGATGGCTAGCTCAAGAATTAACCATAATTGTGAAGATTAAAGCTCTTTGGTGAGTAAATTTGTAAATTCAGAGTTGAATAAGAATAAAGAACATGAATTTAATTGAGTATGATGAAATTGAATTGGTTTTGCTGAATTGAAGGCTAAATTGTGCATGCATGTAAGAAGTTGTCTTAAATTGCATGTTTGAGCACAAATACGTATAATCCATGTGAAATGTTAAAGGAAACTCATGTTTTGACCACCTCTTCACCTAATGAGTTGAGAATGGTGAGCATCTCCCACATGCATGTACAAATTATGGGAGAGTAAGTCTTGAATGCTTGAATTTGAGCATGTTGGTGATGAGTTTGACATATTTTGGGGTATACATGTGAATTAATTGTGAATTGAGCTTCATTGGGTTGTGATTTAAGGTTTACATCATGTTAGTATAATTATATTTGAGATTTGAGCCATAACATGCATGTTTTGTTGGTTGAAAATTGAATTGGAGCTCAAGAACACAATTCTGGGTTTTCCAGAATTTTGAGGTCCGCTCGAGCGGGGAACCTGACGCTCGAGCGAGAAATGCGTGCTCCCAGTATTTTTTGCAGACTTGATGTCCGCTAGAGCGGGGTAATTCACGCTCGAGCGGGGGAGCTATTTTTACAGGCCTTCCGCTCGAGCGCCCTATTTAACGCTCGAGCGTATTTTTGATGCAACCAGTACTTTTGCAGGCCTTAAGGGTCAGCTCGAGCGAGGTATTCTACGCTCGAGCGGGGACCCTGTTTTCTAAAACTTTGAAAATGCATTCTGTGTTATATCTTTCCGTTCTCTTTCACTTGTAAGCACTCTTAGGCATGCATTGAGCATTGTAAATGAGTTAACGAGTTAAAAATAAAGCCTAAAGAGGAATATGTGAATCAAAGAATGGATTGAACTGTTAGTGACCCCTTTTGTGTTCATGGAATGTGTGGGGTCAAGCTCCAAGGCGAATCCACAAGCCGATCACGGTGAGTAATATCGATATTTGAAAGCTTAACAATGTCCAACTGTTTATTCCCTTATAAGCTTTATGAGTTGCTAATTGGGATTGTGGACAAAAGTCTGACAGGAATAAACATAAATGGACCAAAGGTCGTTTTGATAAACATAAATGGACCAAAGGTCGTTTTGATAAACATAAATAAACCAAAGGTCGTTTTGATAAACATAAATAAACCAAAGGTCGTTTTGATAAACATAAATAAACCAAAGGTCGTTTTGATAAACATAAATAAACCAAAGGTCGTTTTGATAAACATAAATAAACCAAAGGTCGTTTTGATAAACATAAATAAACCAAAGGTCGTTTTGATAAACATAAATAAACCAAAGGTCGTTTTGATAAACATAAATAAACCAAAGGTCGTTTTGATAAACATAAATAAACCAAAGGTCGTTTTGATAAACATAAATAAACCAAAGGTCGTTTTGATAAACATAAATAAACCAAAGGTCGTTTTGATAAACATAAATAAACCAAAGGTCGTTTTGATAAACATAAATAAACCAAAGGTCGTTTTGATAAACATAAATAAACCAAAGGTCGTTTTGATAAACATAAATAAACCAAAGGTCGTTTTGATAAACATAAATAAACCAAAGGTCGTTTTGATAAACATAAATAAACCAAAGGTCGTTTTGATAAACATAAATAAACCAAAGGTCGTTTTGATAAACATAAATAAACCAAAGGTCGTTTTGATAAACATAAATAAACCAAAGGTCGTTTTGATAAACATAAATAAACCAAAGGTCGTTTTGATAAAAAGGCCGTTTGGAACATGTTGTTCTACATTGTTATGTAACTTCTGTATTTGATTTGATATTATTCACTGGGCTTTTGCTCACGCTCATTCATGTGTTTGTAGGTGAGCCAAGAGAGGTCTAGACCCAGCCTCAGTGAAGTCTGTATGGAACAACTAAGGTTTTGAGAGAGTCAGCCCTTGTGTCTCACGCACGAGACCCGTCTTCGCCCTTTTGTTATGTATTTACATTTTGTCAGGTTGGCGAAATTTTGTATCCGTCTGTATATAGTTTTCATGGGTTGACTTAGTTTGGATGATCCTGTCTGTATAGAATCTTATGTCACTACAGTTGTGAGTTATTAACATATGTATGTCTGGAATGTTATGGTGTGCATATAAGCACGGTTCTATGGACAAAGTTTTAAATTTTGCTTCCGTTTGGCCCCTTTTACTCTGATGAGTTTTGTCTTATTTGGTTTGAGGTCGTAGGTAATCTGGTATCGCTAGACGATCTATTGATGTGGATGCATGTGCAATAAGGAGTAGGGAGTGGTCTGGGTTTGATTTGAACAATCGGTTAGGGGTGTGGAAGTTGATGACTTCAGTGGAGAAAGAGAAGATCAGAAACGCGTATGACAAAGATGGGGACAGGTATGTAATGTGCGTGTGATGGAAATGAAGTTGGGTGTGTGTATACATTTGTTTGACATGCATTATGTGTTTTACTTGTAGCGCAGTGATGTGGGCTAGTAGTGGACATGATGTGTGTGTCTACTTTGTGGATATTAAGTCGCTTGTTCGACCATTGTCATTGCGTGGCAATGTAAGTAACTGGTGTAAAGTTGTAATGTTATTGTTTAAATGTATATTTTGTTTAAAGTTTACCGTTTTGTGGCAGGTGATAGATGCGTACGCAGTCTTGTTGATGGAATAACAAGATAGACTTGCTGTTAGAGTGGAGTTCTCGGACAAGTCATGTTTTTAGTAGCATATGCCTTGTGAGTTTTTGAAGTTGTTTTTAAAGTTACATTGGAAAGCTTTGTGGTGCATGGTTGGAACGATTAAAATCTTATAATCTAACGGGTGAAATAATGATGCAGAATATGTTAAAAAACGATAACAGTAATGCACAGGACAAATTCGTGCTGGACAACTTCGCGACATGTAAAGATTGTCGGTACGTCCACTTCCCTATTTGTTTCCGAGCACACTGGACGTTGGTTGTTTATGACACTAAAACGGGTCTCTGGAACCATTACAACTCTATGAGGCCCCGGGTTGGACTAGAAAACAAGCACCTTAAGGAGGCAGTGTTTGTGGTGAGTTAAATGTATCATTATATGTGTGGGGTTGATGTGTTTTTGTGTGTCTTCATTGTGTGTGTTTGGTAATGGTAGGGTATTGTTTTACAGAGGGATACTATTATTGAAATCCAGCGAGGCGCAGTTGGCGTATTGGGCGATGACGACGCAACGCAGTTTGGTCAATTAGGTGTGGAGGCAGTTACTGACTGCCCGCAGCAAAAACACGACTCATACATGTATTGTCCAAATTAATTTGATAGTACATACATAAAATGTAATGTGGTATATGGTTTGTTGGAGGAGTTAATAAGTTGTTTTTGTTTGTGTTGTCGCTCATTGCAGGGAGGACTGTGCAATCATTATGTGTGCTGTGATGCGGCAGTATGTACATCATATGGACGTGAACAGATCGTTGCAGGGGGATAACTGCATCATATTGCGCGCCAACATGGTTAAAGGTTTTGTGAACGACCACGGAAGGGGTCTGAAAGATAGTGCATGAAGTATGGAGCTGTTTGGTTTTTGTGATTGGGGTTGATTTGTCGGTTGGGTTTTCCTTTGGCAGTATGGTGGCGCTACGTTATATTCCACTTTTTTGTGGGTTTTTTTTTTTTTGCACAGGGATGAACTTATTTTGTTAAGTTTGTTAACTTTTTTTGTGAATGTTTTGGTTGGTTTTAACGTTGGGTATTAAATTGTGAATAACAGTAATTACATATGGAGGTTATGCGATTATGTGTTATGTTACATTTGACCTTGTGTTTCGTTCATTTACTGCTTAGGAATTTTGTGTGTTGAACATGTTGTGTTGCTTAGTAACAGCTTTTGAATTTTGTATGTTGGACATATTTGCTGGACAGAAGTGGAACAGGTATCACGTAGTTGTGTGATGGTGTATGAATAGTATTGCATTTAGCATGTAAAATGAAGATATTGTGACAATGTGACTTTGTGAAACTGCTAAGGGTTAATGGTATTACTGGCTTGTGTATGGACATTACATTTGTTGTGGCAATTCATAGTAGTGGGTAGTGGTGCAATTTGTGTGTTGTTATGTATTGTGTGTTCCCGCTGAAAGAAAATTTCATTAAAATAGGAATCAATTTAAGGGAATGGATAATTGAAAATGATGTGAAGAAAAAAGGTAAATGAGTATACCACTACATTATGAATGGGGCACTGTTATGGAACATTGTCCACAATGCGAAAAGTACTTTGAAATTAAATCCATACATGGAAAATATGTGTAACCCATAATTATTAACTAGGAAAAATAAAGTAATGCAGAAAGTACTTGGAAATTAAATGCATACATAGGGAATATGTGTAACTCATGATTATTAACTGGGAAAAGTAAAGTAATAAAAGTGTCAAATAATGTGTTTCCACATGATTGGGTTGATCTGCTATATTGGTTCTTTGTAGGTCTTTCAGTTGTGGTGTCCAATGCGACCGCACCTGCTGCAACGTATTGGTTGGACTTTCTCACCGCGTGACGGTATCCTCTTTTTCTTGGGCCTGCCAGGTGGTCATTTGACAGCGGGTGGCAGTATGATCAAATTGTGTATGTCGATGGGTGGTTGTTCCACTGTTGGGATTGGTGTAATCGTTGGGCTGTACGACAAGCGATATTCTGAGGAATGGAAGTAAGGCTCGATTAATGTGTACAAATCTTGTCCACTTTTTCGAGCAGCAACAATGGCATGTGAGTATAGGAACCCGTTAATCTGCCACTGGAAACACGAGCATGTGCAGCTGTCAACATCAACCATGACGGACGAGTGTGAGTGTACCTCGTACACGGTAGGGCTTGATTGGCTTACAGTCCATGACCTCCCGTCATTGTATGACTTTTCTAGGAGTTTTTCCATTTTTGGGCATAACACTCCATGCCATTTTTGTGACGTTTCCCGCCTAGTTGACATTTGTCGCATTATTTATGCCCTTATACTGTCCACCAAACGGGTTATCGGAAGGTGACGTGCCTCGGAAATCCAGTTGTTGAAGGATTCGGCGGCATTGGAGGACATCTCGCCGTACCGGTTACCTCTGTATTGCAATGTGTTTCACAATATAGCAGCAGCATTAGTGTAGATAATTTAATGTAACACGACGCAGTCAATGTTTTGTATTGTTTATATACAAGTGGGACATGTAAAGGTACGGACCTGAAATAAGCATTTGCCCAATGTTGTGGGGGTAGATTTCCGAGGAAATCGATTGCAATTTTCTTATCGGAATTGGTGAACTTTTTTACGATCTCTTCAAATGTAGTAACAGTCGGTGCGTGTAGACACCCCATTTTTGACCGTCCTCAAGACTCGAACGTCACCGCTTGGAACACTCGGTGATTATCCATGTTTGTGTTCGTTTGGAGTTCCCGGAGGTCTCGGCTCGCGCGCCTTGCCTCAGGATCTCCGAACTCGACTGTTTAGTGTCTGGTTTTGCACCAAACACTTGGGTTTTGCCTTGGAGGGGCAGGGAATGCCTTGTGAGGCATCCCCACATACCACCGGCAGTGGCTAGAGGCCACTGGCTGGTTTTTGCTTCCACCGGCAATCTTTATTGCCGGTCGGCACTATTTGTTGCCGGTCGGCACTCTTTTTTGCCAAAATGGCATCTTTGGCCGGCCGACTACTGTGCATCTGCTTTTGCAGATATTTTAAGACAGCTGTCTTACTTTTGGCTCCCCTCCATACACGTGTATAGAGGGATCTCCCTCTTTAGAAGCTTGTCTTGTAAGCTTTACAAGACAAAAGCCTCTATAAAGAGAAGCATTGTCTCTTGGCTTTAGGGTTAGAGACTTGAGACATTTTAGAGATAGAAAAGACAGAGAGAAGCTCTGGTTTTAGGGTTAGGGTTCATACATATCTCCTATCTCTCTTTTTCTCTCTTTGTGCTCTAGGTGTTTTAGTTCATACTATTGCACACAAACACCTAGTGTTTCACCTTCCTTTGGCTCCTGAGGTTCTAAGGGGCTGATTTTGGTGTTTTGGTGTTGGATTCAAGCCAAGGAGGGCCATTGGAGCATCATTTGTGAAGGTGGTCTACAAGGGTGAGAAACTTCCATTTTATTTCCCATTTTTGCATCTTGTTTTTGCCTATCTTTGAACTGTTTTTGTGCTTAGTGTATAATACAAAAAAAAGTTATGTTTTTTAGCCCTCTTGATTGTTTATTAAGAGTGTTTTGTGGTTTGAGGTTGTTTGACCCCTCTTAGGCCTTGAAAGGCCCCATTTTGAGCCATTTTGAGCAAGTTTCGAGACTTTGGTGTTTGGGCCTCTTCACCACTGAAATCTTGAGGGATTTCAGTGGTGGAGATGGTGCCTTGAAGTCTCCAAAAGGAGAGGGCCACCCCCTCTCCTTGTTGTCCTTGAAATGGACCATTTTTGGCCTCTTGAGGGAGCACCTAGCTAAGCTTCATGTTGACCATGCCTTAGTTGTTTTTTGTGCTTAATATGTCATATTATGCCTCTGTTTTTTGTTGGTTTTGGTACACCATGCATGCTTAGCATACCTACCATGTAATGCCTTGTTATTGCCTTAATATGCCTTAGGTTGTTAGCCTTTGTTCAAGCATGTTTTAGGCCTAGTTCTGTGAAGGTTTTGTGCATATTTTGCCATGTTTTAGGTCTGTCCATGGTTGTTTCCTTTGCATGGTCCAGGTCTGCCTTGAACTTATTTTAAGCCCCCTTTGCCTTGTGAGGCTTGGTTGGCTTGGCCATGGTTCAAGCCCCTTTGACTTGCTTCAAGCACTTAGGCCATTTGTTGCATGTTTGGCTTGATTTGTTACTTGATTTGGCTCCATGTTTTAACATGATTTTCAATGCTTATGTTGCATGCTACATGTCCATGATTACTTTCTTTCAAATGTGTTTGAGAGTTGTCCAATTTGTGCCTAAGTGTTGGTCTTTAATCATGTGTATGTGTGCATGTGTGGTCCCTTATTATGGCACTTTGGCCATTGCTTTAGGCCTATTTAGAGTTGCCTAAATTATGTGTAAGTCCACCTTTCCATTGATTTGCATTACCTCATGTTTGCTTGTATGTTTGCATAAGTGTCTTGCCATGCCATGTTGCACCCTTAGCTTGCATGCCTAGGTTGCATTGCATCTTGCATGCATGCCTTGTTCCTTGACTTGGTGATAGGAATTGGGCCTTGGTTTGTTTGTTTGGTTTGCATTTCATTTGACATGAAAGTTGCACACTTGATTCTTTGGGCCGTCATGCATGGAAATGCGTGATTGACGGTCCGAGAATCGAGGCACATGCCCTTTTGAGTCACAAACATGATAGGGGGCATGATTGGTGCATACACTGTTTGTATTGTATTGCCATGCAAGTTCTGTCCTCTGCTGCTGTGAGTTGCAGGTTCTACAGGCATTCTTTGCCGACCGGCAGTGTACATTGCCGACCGGCAGTCATTCTCCTGCTGATAGCTTCATCTTGTGCCGGTGACTATATACCACTGCCGGTCGTAATTTCATTCAGTCGGTGGTGATCTCCAGTATCCAGAAGAGCATCTTTGAGACTTTGGCAGTCTTCAGAGGGGCAGAGCAGGGAAAACAGAGGCAGACTATGCATGGCGGTGCACTTCCGAGCAAGACCCGAGCACGCACTGCATCCGGTCCTCCTCCCGAGGCGGTTTACTGTTTTTCCTAGCTTAATTAGTTTGTTAGCTAATTAGGTAATTTGTAATATTTAATTAGCTTGCGTAGTTAATTAATTTGTATTATTTATTTGGTCCCTCCGAGCGAGGGCGAATCTGTAATAAGTGTGGGTGAGTGGCGTGTATGTCTTCCAATCCCCACTTCTTTCTTCCCTTTTATTTACCCGCTTTGATGGTTAGTATTAGGGCACGTCTAAATTAGCATACCTCATGCAATGCATGCGTGCATTCATACATTTGCTTTGCATGCACCGGGCTCGGCGCATCATTCTAACTACATCTGTATTTCAAACCCCAAATTGAATATATGCTAGTTGTGCATTTCCACATGCCATGATTAGACTAGCCGAGCCTACTCTAGTGACATTTTGCTTGTGTTGCATTAGTCATTTTAACATGAACTAGAGCATGCATGTTTACTAACTAGTTTATTGTTTTGGCACGGAGTACGATGTAAGTATTTTCGCTTTAGCATCTCGCATGCGTGTGAATGTTGCCATGACAGTATGCATACCATGTGGCTAAATGCTTACGTGATATTACTATTTGAATGCCTGAGGGTGAAGGTTGGATTGTTTGAGTTGGAAAACTCGTTGAAATCCGTGTTTTAGCCTACTTGCGAGTAGCAAATTCCGAAGTGCTTTTCAAAACAAACGGATATGCAATGCTTGTTTCCAAATCAGGCAATCTAGTCTATACTTGTTTGCCGTGCACATAACATAGTAATTCTAGGCTAAAATAACCAGAATAAGAACACATAGCGTTTTCAAAATCGGATATCATGGTTAGTAGAGGCCGGTCTTCGGACCGGGCGAAAGGGGGTGCTCATAGCTGACCTTCCCCGATCGTACCCAAGCTCCCGAGCCGAGACAACTCCGGTGATGACGGACATGTGGCCTTCGACACCGAGTCAGGGTTTCCTAAATTTCCCTAAAAAAAATATTTAGGTGGCGACTCTGTATCTGGCAAAGCAGTCCATGTTTGGCACTTCTTTTCAAAAAAATCTGTTTCTCAAAACGATTTGCCGAATTTGGACTCTTTGGTTCAAATTTAGAACCGTGACACAAAATCGAGTCCGAACTGTAGCGAAGGCCCCTCGCGGGACGCGTCTACAGTGCGTAAGCGCAGTTGTTGAACTTGGTGATCAACCCAATCCGATGGAAATTGTTCATATATTTCAGTTTGTCTCTAAGGTTCCTCTGAAGGTGTTGCATGCAAAACGCGTAGTGAGCATTTGGGAAGATAATGGGCATTGCCTCCATGAGGCCAACATGCCGATCTGATATGAATGTAAACGTTCTGTCATCACCGAGTGCATTACGAAGATGTTGCAAAAATCATGACCAGTTTGTTGCGTTTTCTGCCCCGACAATCGCAAATGCGACTGGAAACAATCCTGCGTGTGAGTATGGTGGTTAGTTGGGTGTAAAGGTGTAGGTAGTTGTGTAGAAATATTGGCAGGCATGGTTGTGTGATGTATGTGCGTTATATTTGTGTAAATGTTCAATGTACCTCGGTTTCCGTCCTTAGATGTAGCAGCAAGTAAATTCCCTTTGAACTTCCCCTTCAAGAAAGTGTCATCTAGCAAAAGTAATGGTCGGCAATGTTTGAACCCGTCAATGCATGCTTTGAATGATATGAAAAAACGTTCAAACCGGTTGTCATGCTCATCACAATCAATATTAATATAAGTACCCGGGTTGTGTTCCGTTACGGCCCCACTGTACCACCGTAGCTGATCAAAAGATGCACTTTGTGCCCTAAATAACTCGCCTCTGGCTTTTTTGCAGTTTGTTGCGTTTTCTGCCCCGACAATCGCAAATGCGACTGGAAACAATCCTGCGTGTGAGTATGGTGGTTAGTTGGGTGTAAAGGTGTAGGTAGTTGTGTAGAAATATTGGCAGGCATGGTTGTGTGATGTATGTGCGTTATATTTGTGTAAATGTTCAATGTACCTCGGTTTCCGTCCTTAGATGTAGCAGCAAGTAAATTCCCTTTGAACTTCCCCTTCAAGAAAGTGTCATCTAGAAAAAGTAATGGTCGGCAATGTTTGAACCCGTCAATGCATGCTTTGAATGATATGAAAAAACGTTCAAATCGGTTGTCATGCTCATCACAATCAATATTAATATAAGTACCTGGGTTGTGTTCCGTTACGGCCCCACTGTACCACCGTAGCTGATCAAAAGATGCACTTTGTGCCCTAAATAACTCGCCTCTGGCTTTTTTGACACCTAACCAAGCTACGCAGTAACTTATTTTGAGGTCGTAATTTTTTTTCAAATCAAATGCAACATCAGTAGGCCTAGTCAAAGGCTTGTCGCGGATACGATGTGCGAAGATGTCGGAGACCAAGTCTGATCCCAAACGGCGGTTGTTGACTGTACGAACAGCGACGCCACAAATGTGTTCATTGTTCCATTTGCAAAGGTAGAAAAAACCATTAGCGTCCAAAACTCGCGCGTGTACCAACCATGTGCAACCCTTCGACTCTTTCAACGAACACACAACGGTAATTCTAACTGTATCATTTTTGAGGTACTTGAATTCAAAACCGCATTCCACGCATATTTGCAAAGTACTGTTCGAAACTCAGCCGCACCACCTTCGAAACTCTGCCCCACAAGAGTTAGTCCGTTAGCCCATGATGCTGATAAGAATGTATGCTGATCATGTGGACAGTAGTTTGGCAACAAATCAATATCAGGCTCGTTGTTAATCTGATGAACAGATCGTTTGGTTCCACGCGTGCCGAGGCTTGCTATGGTGTCCACAAAATCATTGTCTGCTGTTACACAGACATCATCGTGTGACTCGACCATAACCTCGATTAGTTGCAAACGAAAAAAGAATGCAAGCTGAACCATATTTTGCATATCTACGTCATTTTGTAATGAGATTTTTTTGTAACCCGAAACATTGAAGAACAATCGAACATTAACCGACGTAAGACCATCAAAATTATCACACAGAAAATTAATCAAATCAACAAATGCGTAAGGGGATTTCAGATTGTATACGACATTCGTGGACCGAAAACAGCACAACAACATAATCACGTCATCCATCCCTGCATTAAAAAATAGTTACAGACGGTTTACAAGGTATGGAGTGAAAGGAAAACACAGAAAAGACCTTGTTTGTGTCACACACAGTGGTCGAATGCACATGCTTAAAACTCATCAGTAATGAAGGTCAAAACAGACGACGATGCAAACTTATGTAACAACCATCATACAAGGGGGAAAATCAAACGGAGTACCTGCAGGCGTGTATCTTCACGGCGTTGCAATGCGGATATCGGTGTAACCCTGAATGTGCTCCCTCTGTGATATGACTGTGGTGACCAAATATTGGACAATACGATGTGTTACATAGTGAAGGGGATGGTAATACGGTATGAACGTGATCCCTAATTCTATGCCAGAAGATTGGTATTAGGAAATGGACTTAATTCCTAATTCTGTGTGACCCAAATAAGGAAAGGGTGCAAACGACCAAAATTTGAAAACATAAATCAAAACAGGACCCATAGGTAATAGTATTATAACAAATGGGATCTCTCAGTATATTTGTCAATCGGTAGGACTAAATGGGATGTATGATGGTGATATGAGATTTTTGGATAATTTTCCCATATATTAATAATTGTGATTGTCACATGAGATGATATATAACAAATGTAATGTAAAAACATGATAAAGTGCAACATTCACTACAAGAAATCAAGGTTTTAAAGACAAAATTTTAGGAACAAAAATTTTTTGTCTATAAAACCTATATTTTTAAGGACAAAATAAAGGACTTTAAAAAAAGAAATACTTAATCATATTATTTTATTTTTAAAACGAAGCTATTTGGTTGCAAAAGAGTTAATGACTTTTTGCAGACCTCTTTAGTTGGTTGCCAATAAACCTAACTCATACATTTTTTTATTATATTTTCACTCTTTGCACAATTATAATCGGGATTTCATTTCCACTTCAGACCCCTCTCTCTCTCTCTCTCTCTCATCCCTAATTTCATTGTTGATTTCATCCCTGCTCTTAGAGACTCTGATCGGTGGTTTGTGGATTTCGTCCCCGACAGTTTCGATCCCTAATCTGATCTCTCTCAACAGCTATTTCAGCTATTTCAATCACAGGTTTGATCGATTAATCGATTATTTGTTTGAGCTAAAATTTATACGAAATTGATGATGTTTTTATGTCTTCGATTCATTCATTTTTAGACGAACAATCGTCGTTTGTTGATGCTTTTTCTGCTTCTCACAGTTCAGATTTCTTTTTGTTTGTTTCGGCATGAAATTGATTCAAGAGATTGTGTTTCTTCAGTTTGTTTGCTCGGAACTTGTATTGTTTGGTTTCAATTTATACTTGAATTTGGTTTTCCGAACATTAGGATCTATTATTGTAACATTGATCTGTGGTTTTTTTTTTTTAATTATTTTAGAGAACAAATTATTTTAGTTCTAAGTGACATGGTTCTATTTTTAGATCAACTTTTACTCAAATTTATCTGGCAATCAACTTTGACATAGTTCAGATTGTAGGAAGAGGTGAAGATTGGGTTCCATCTTTTGATCTTGAGCTGTTCCACTTACACAATTTTATTTATATAAAAAATGAAATATTGATAGGTTTACATGCTTTGATCATAACTAGTGTTTACATGCTTTGATGAAGAAGATATGCTATTAATAATTATTTTAGTTCTGATATATTAGGAACTACCATATTAGTGTATACAAGAGTTATATCCTTCTCTCTTCAGGGTATTTTGTGACTGTAATCAAATTCAGTCCTAGTTGTAATTTTCAAATATTTCTTTTCATGTGTGCAAAGGCTTTGATAAGTAGTTTGGAAGTAAACTGAATAAAAGAATTGAGAATGCCCATCAATTGCCTTAAAATATAACAGTCATGATGATGAAGGTTTATTCTCTCCCTCTTTACATCTCCCCTTCTCATTGCTATTGCATATTTTAGTGGTATGATCATTAATTTCATTTTTATTGTTCCTTTTTCCTTCCTTATTTTACAACCTTTTGTTGTCACTAGAGTGATTCTTATAGTTTAGGAGGGAACTAGAACTTAAGGTAAAACAGGGCAAACACAGGAGCACACATTTATGTGGTCTGGCTTAAAGCTTATGTCAACGAGTGAAAAACGACAGTGTTTATTGACTCCAATTAGCTTAGATGAACACCTAATGGAATTTAGTAAGTCACATTTATGTAATATGCTTTTTAGGCATTTGCTTCAACTATGAGCATCTCATATTTGCCTCTTTGGATCAAAACTCATTCACAAAAGGTAAAATGTAATATGAAAACTAGTCTTACCTTTCATGATATGCATATAACAAACTCACTGCTACTATCAGCTCCATCAGTGACAAAACCCCATTCATTTAGATACAATGTATGCATGTTTTAAAAATCAAAACAACCTTGTCCCTCGCTAATTAAATACATCGGTGCAGACAGTTAGCCATCTTTGCTTGTCATCCCCCACAAAGGAAAACAAAGAAAGTTTTGCAACTTGCGTAGGCCAACATACAAACTGACACACTTCACCTTTTCACCTTTCTATGGAAATGAAGTAATATTGAAGGAAACCTTCAAAAACTAGGATTAATTGAAGGCCTAAAATTGTTTCAGGTTTCGATTATGAAGTCTATCTCGTAATACAGATGATACGAGGATTAATTGAGCTTGTAATTTATTCTTCTTTGTATTACTATTTATATGCTCTTTACATATTGTTGATTTATACATGTATCTTCTTGGATTTAGCTCTCATTAAACGATAGTAATCACTTTGCTTGGTTAGAGTTTTTCAAAAGCAAGGGTTTGGGACTACCAATGATCTATCTACCTAAATATCTAAATCAAGATTTATCCATTTAGAATTTTTTGAGGGGGTGATTGTGTGGTGATGAAGAATTCGTAGAATCCCTATATTAATGCTTAATTTGATGTTTCTTTTGCTTTGATGATATGGTCTGATCTAATCCTGATTTGTTTGATTTTATTATATTTGTGTTATTTGGAAATGTAGATGCCAATTCGACTGATTGCATTGTTAAATTTATTTTGATTCGCTTGTGTTATGAGAGTCGAAAATTGTTGTTCCAATTGATATTGTGTGCTGTTGTTGATGGTGTGAGCATACCATAGGCCTACTGGGAATTATGCTGGGCACAAAGATGGCATAGGATCACCAAGGTTGGAGAGTAAGAGACCTAAGGCAACCATACTGGAGAGAGAGAGAGAGAGAGAGAGAGAGAGAGAGAGAGAGAGAGAGAGTAGGAGTGGGGTGCAAGTGATCTGCTTCTCTCGGACACAGGAATCCACTTAGAAAGTATATTATTCATGGCAGGCATAGCGACACCCTGATAAGAAAAAAAGTCAATTCTTCAAACAATCAAAATCCTGTATATTAATAGGTGAGATGTGGCAAGAATAAGTTGAATCGGGAGAAGTTGAAAGTCCTCCACACTGCTGGCTCAAAGGCCTTCAGAAAAGTGCAATATGATGAGGTATTAATTATAGAATCTATAATTTATGTTTTGTAATTGTAATTGAACAACGTAATCTATATTGAGGTTTAATGTGTGCTATAAATGGCACAGCGAGACCGTGCCACTGGAGAGGAACTTGGACTTGTTGAGTTGTACAAAAAGACGCATTTTAGTGAGAAAAAAGAGGCATGGGTGCATGCTGATGCTGAGATTAGACATGTAAGACATCAATCTTTATGTACTTTCATTCCTTATATCCTTAATAAAATGTGGATGGATACTTAATTTTATCTCAACTAATGAATATTGTAGTACAAGCTTGAAAAGCGGCAAGAGAAAGCTATTGAAGACGGATCTTGCCTGATATCTGATGAGCAACTTTCTATTGAGGTATTTGGACAAAAAGTTGGCTACATACGCGGCTTAGGGCGTGGTCGAAAACCAAGTACAACATTATCTGGAAAACTTACCCGTGCCCAACTCGAGAGGGATAATGAGGCTGCTACAAGGGAGGCTGAAGAGCAACGAAGAATCAATGAGGAGCTGGTGGGAAGAATTCAAATCTTGGAGTCTGATCGCACGGAATACAATGCCAAAGTTGACTTCTTGATGCAGCAGATTAGTCAAAGAGTACCCTCTACTGATTCTTCTTCTTAGTAAGTCATCTTTTCAGAATGTTTGAGTAATTGATATTTGTTTCATTCAATAATATGATGAATCTTAGGATATTAGTGTGATTGGATTGCATGTATATGCTAGTACAGGTTATACATCACTGTGCTTTTAGTATCTTCTGAATTGATTTGAAGAACGTATCACATGAGAGACAAATAGTGGGGTGCATTTGTGTGAGGCCCACATGTATCTCACGTGGGAGTGTGGCAGGCGATTTAGAAAAATATTCTCCTTTTTGTCTATATATATATATGCATAATTACACTTTTCATAGGAGTTATTCCTTTTACTTACTGTTCTACAAGGAATTGTTTTCACTTGAGTAATGTTTGTAATTGAACTTCAGATACTATAATCGGCACATTAAATTGCAATTTATTAAATTAATCTATTATTGGATAATTTTTAATTGGTAATCTATTTGAGAGTTTAGCCTATTCTATGCAGGTCCTGCAAGCTTGCGTTGATTTAAAGCTTGGGAGCTCTCTGCTAGATTTTGAATGCCATTTTAACGAAACCATTGAGAAGAAGATGCGATGAGTTGAGTTGTTTTGTTATGTAGGTAGATATAATTCTAATAACAACCTGTTCATTGAACAGTTGAATGCTATAAACAATGCTTATAACACTAGCCTTATAAATTGGAAATGATACTTTTGAAATCTCTGTCATATATACAATCAAGATATTACGTACTAATGAATTAGAGCATGGTATTTGTTTGTTATTGAATGCGATGAGCATTTTTTTTTTTTTTTTTTGTGTAGTTGAATTTTAATTTGGAGATGAGTGGATGGTTTGGTGATATATATTTTCTGTTTGGTTGTTGAGAAATCAAGAAAGGAATATAAGTTGATGTTCAAATTAGTATTTTTAGAATAATTGTTACAAAATCAAAAAAAAAAAAAAAAATTATCAAACTTTTAAAGACCAATTTTAGTTGTCTCAAAAAATATTTAATAAGCTTTTAGCCGCTACTTTTATTTGTCCCAAAAATTAAAAATTTTAACCACCATTTCCCTTTGTCCTAAAAAACTAAAAACTTTTACGGCCCACTACCATTTGTTCCAAAAAATTAAAACTTTTAGACACCAATTTGTGTTGTCGTAAAAATTAGTTTCTTTGTTTCCATAACTACCACCGTTGCCTTGGACTATAAATAGACTTTTAGAGACAAATTTTGGTTGTCTCAAAATCAAAACTTTTTGCAACCACCTATTTTTGGAGTCCGGATTCTCGGCCGCCCTTCCCGGCGGCCGTTCCAGCAGCCCCCCAAAACGACGTCGTTTTGGGGGTTTTTTTGATTTTTTTTTTTTTTTCTTTCTTCTTCTTCGTTGCAAAACAGAACCAGAGGGAGGGAAGGGAGAGAGAGAGGGGGAGGGGAGGGAAGGGAGAGAGAGAGGGGGAGGGGAGGGGAAGGAGAGAGAGAGGAAGGGAGAAGAAGAGGGAGCACCGGACTGGAGGGGGCCTAAATCACCGGGGGAGGAGGAGGAGGAGGCGGAGGCGGGCCGGACGCGGAGGCGACGGCAGATCGGGCGACGATCGGACGGCTGGCGAGCTCGACGACCTGCGACGGCGAGCTCGACGACCTGTCGCCCCCAAACACACAAGTTCTGCGAAAAAAAAAAAAAAAAAAAAACGAAAAAACCCCCAAAACGACGTCGTTTTGGGGGGGCTGCTGGGAACTGTCGCCCAAAAGGGCGGCCGAGGATCCAAATTCCTATTTTTGTCTCTAAAAGTCTATTTATAGTGACAAATGCCAAATTTTGTCTCTAAAAGTCATTTTTTGACTTTTCCGGACGGGCCATTTGGGACAAACTTTGTGACGGAGGAAATTTGTTGGCTAAAGTTTTTTCCAACAAATATTACACTTTTAAGAACGGAATAAATTTGTCCCTAAAAAGCTGATTTCTTGTAGTGATTATTCTTTTTATGTATATTAGACATTCTACTTGAGCATTATTCTTCTTATGTTTATTGCAATTATTCATTTTCTTTTGCTCTCAAAAATGGAATAAGCTATTTTAAAAAAAGAAATTATATAATGGAAGTTTCTTCTAGCATGCTTAACATAAATAATAAATAAATAAACAAAGTCAAATATAGATAGGTGTCCTATAAAATTAGGTGGACAACATAACTAAAATGGATCAAATTCGGTGACGAATCCGAACCACTAATTCAACTATGAGAATGTTTTGGGCTCTGAAGAACTGGATTGCTATTTGTACTTTATTCGGCTTGTTCGGTCTATCAACAACTTGGCCAACAATTGACCTAATTGGAAACATTTTAGTCAAAAAAAATTATTGTTATTTTGTCAAAGGTACGATTGGCGAAAAAAAAAATGTAATTTAAAATAGAAAAAATTACAATTCAGTGCATGTTCTGAAAAAAAAATTCAAATCAATGGTAAATTTTACTAACTTTAATAATTAAAATTATAAATTTTCTCATAAATTTATAAATATTTTGTGAAGGCACTACTAATTGACATTTCTTCAAAAATATAAGAATTGAGATTTTCTCTTAGGCATTAGTGGGTTTAACCCTGGACTTACATTAATCATTCAATATGTCCATCCTGCAGGATTTTTCAAGAAAATCATTCAAGTAAAATTTTATTAATTAGACAATTATAATCATAGGAAAATGCTATACAAACAAAAAAAAATTACAAATTTTTCTTATAAATTGATGTGGCATGGAGTGATACAACTTTGTAATGTGAAATGAGGCTCAACTTACTAATATTCTAAGTGACACATCAGTTTGTAAGGAAAGTTTGTTTGAAAAATTTATTTGTATAGCACTCATAATCATATAATCCAATCACATTACTTTTTTAAAATATGATAATGTGACTATACATTGTCCGATAACTTGTGTATGAATACAATTCTAAAAAAATCTTTAAATAAATAGTGATGAGTCAATTATCATCTACCAATAAAAATTTGCAAATAAAATTAGGTGGAGAGTGATGGTCTCCTATTAATTTAACAATATTATAACCTTTTACAAATTAAAATTACTTACTAAATAATGATAAAATGTAATAAAGTATTACTATTCAGGTTAAAAAATTAGACCCAATGATATATCACTTCATTAAAATATGTAAGTCAATTCTCTCTTTTATTTATTTTCTAATTATCAACTAATCATTTTATTTATACATCACTAAATCTAAAAAACAGAATTATATTATTTTCTAATTTAATATTATTATAGATTTGGATAGAAGTTTGAAAATGAAAGAAAAAATATATGTAAAATATAGGTAAAATATAATTATATTTTATTTTATTTTATTTTTTAAACTAGCATATCTAAATTTATAAACTAAACACAATTTAAATAAAAGATAAGTGAGAATCCCAACTCAAAATATAAAACCCATCGAGAAACAGAGAGGAGACAAAACCTTAATCTGATAAAAAAAAAAAATTGAGATTGATGATGAGAGGAAGAAGCAGCGTGGGCTCGAATTCCAAACCAGCTCAGGTTTTTACCCTAAAAACCATGAACACTTGTGGGAGTTGACTTTCGTCACTCCTCCTCCCCTTCTCCTGTTCAACTACATGCATTGAAAACCAAGAAGACAAGTCAAAACTAACCCAAGATAATGTTTTCAGAACTTTGAGGTCAATAGATTTTAAAAAAAAAAAATTTAAAAAAAAAAAAAAGTATCTCCCTATCCAAAATGTAAATGAGAAATGTAGTTTAGCATAAAAGTTGGAATTACGGTCCTCTCTTTCATCTCTCTCTCCTTAACTTTTTACTTGTAGGTTATTAGACTTACTTTTGGACTCAATTTCGATAATTCGAACCGTTCACATTTTAAGATTTATTGAGTATATCATACTTGTAAAAAATTAAGTTGATCAAATATCAGAAAGCAAGTGTTCAGAAAACTGTTTATTAATTTTTTTTAGAAAATGATTTGTAGTTCGATGATCCGAACATGTAATTTCTGATATTCGATCAACTTGATTTTTTACAGGTATGATATACTCAACAAATCTTAAAATGTGAACGGTTCGGATTATCAAAATTGTGCCCAAAAGTGGGCCCAATGGTCCAACAAGTAGGAAGTTAAGGAGAGAAATTAAGGAAGAAATCCTGATTCGTTGGGGGCTAAAATAGTTATATAGGATAAAATAGGTTATTTTAGCTAAATATGATAAAATGTCACATCCAATATATAATCATTTCATTTGTTCTCTCATAAAAGTTAAAAAAACTAAAAAATATATCTCAAACGAGACTTTTTAACCCCATACCAAAAAAATCAAAAAACCAAAAAATCAATCTACATCCCAAACAAAATAAACTTTCAACAATATTAAGAAAAACTATTCAATATTTTTAGAACATTACGTGTTATATTAAGACTAATTATTATATATCATATTTTTTTATATTTTTCAATCACCCGACACAAAGTTATGAGTCTATCTTTTCCACTAATTACAGAATATTGGAGCACCAAGAGCACCCAATAACTACTCCAATGTTAAATATTAAAAAATGATTAAGTTTTTCTCAAGTTGATAGGAATTTGTGAGGTCCACTACAAGTTCTATTTTGATTATCTGAATTATTCATCTTCTTATATATATAAAATTAAGTCAATCTAATAAGTATGATATTTTTATTGGGTATGATATTGTCAAATTTTGCTAATTGAAAATGTCAAAATTTTATAATTTTATTCCGATGCATTGTTATTTTTGGCACAATCATTATTTCATATTTCCAATCACTGTTCGATCTGTATAAAATTCATCTAGCGGTGGGTAAATTTTGACAATTGATTAAATTTTGCACCAAATTTGTCACAAAAAAATGATAACATACCGCATGGTCACGGGTTATGGGTCACATTTGGAGTGAGTTTATAGAAATTTATCCTATCCCATATCATATCAGGTGTGAGACAAATTGGAAATGATGGAAGTCAAGTGAGTGTAGGGCCGGAGGCAAGGTAAATTTGTAAGTTAAAAAATAAAAATATTAATAAAAATTATAAATAATATAATATATTACAAATAATAGTTTATACTTAATGAGAATTATATTATATAAGATACAAAATAAATGAATAAAAATCAATATTAAGTATAATATTTTAGTATTTTAACTTTATTATAATGAGAATGGGGGGAAGCAAAACCTATCCCCACCCTACTTTTTAAACCGGGATGGGGAAAATCCATGCCGGGTAAGGAATGCGGGTACAGAGCGAAGCGGAGGAAAATAATCATCCCTAATTAGAGCACCCAAGTGAGACTTTGATCATCCTCAATTCCATTTATTTAATAGATAATTTTCATTATATATCTAATGATTATAAAATATGAATTCAAATTTATAATTATTTTAATTAAAAAAATCATTACACTCACCATTAAATGATATAACAAAACATCTCTATTACAAATAAAGCAATGGAGAAAATCATAATAATATATTAACTAACGGCTCTAAAATAAGAAAGTTAAGAAAATGAAAAAGAAAAAAAAAACTATTCAAAAATTTATCCATATATAATCTAGATTTAATTTTGTGTAATAGGACCATATTTAAAATGAATGTTTGAATCTATTCTTTTTTGGAATTAAGGTTCCGTTTGGCAAGTGGTGATTTTAGTCAAAAAATTATTAAAAAAACTAAAAAATCAATAACTTATACAAAAAAATTAAAGATTTTCTTTTCTTTTTACTATCTTTTCGTAAAAAATTAAAAAATTATCCCAAATACACTAATTTTTTTACATCATATTTTAATCAAAAAGTTAAAAAATTACTAAAAAAATACGTTTCCAAACGAGGCCTAAAAAAAGATTTATAGACACAAAGGAATCATATAATTGGACAATTTTCTCACGTAAAGTAAATTTTACTTTTATTACATTTATATAAAATCATTAAGATTATGGGATTGATTTCTATATAAATAGAACAACTGTTTGTTTCGAGTAAATTGATAGGGTGTAAAGAAAAGTGAGTAAAATTCTGTTTTTACATGTAACCAAACGCAACGTAAGCCAAAGTTACAAATCGTTGGTGGGTGGTTCACCGAACCCTAACCAGCAGTATAATCAAACTTTTCGTGAACTATTCAACCAAGTTTTATCACTTAAAATAACCCAAAAAAAGAAAAAAAAATCAAATTCAAATTCGACCCATTTTCTGCAGCATATTTGTTTTGATGAGGCTCGGCTCCTCTCCTCGCTGTTCTTGTTTCTCAACTAATCCCATTAATGTCTCTGCATTGAATGCTGCTTGGATTTAAAGAACCCAGCTCCTTTCCCTGCAAAAATATTACTTTTAGAGAGAGAAACTTGTATATGGTTTCTGGTTTTTGAGAGGTTTTTCAACCACCTCTGATCACTGCATTTATGTTTGTACATCTGGTGGTTATAGTGAGAGAAAAACACAAGAGAAGAGAGAGAGACGGTGACATTCAAAGAAACAGACTGGCCTAGTAATTGCTTTTCTGATACTTTCACCTATAAATCTTCTCTACTCTCTCTCTCTCTCTACTGCATGTTCTCCTTTTTGTAACTCTCTCTCTCTCTCTCTCTCTCTCTCTCTCTCATCTTTCTTTTTCTGTTTCATGAGCTTGTTTGTCCATACGACAATGGTGATCTGTTGAAGAACTGCAAGAAACTCAGTCAAATCAACCAACCCACTGTTGTTTAAGGTAAAATACCATCTGGGTCATCATTCTTTTTCTCAGTTTTTTTAGTTTAGATCCATTCTTTCGAGCTCCTCTCTACTTTCTCGGGAAAGCATTTTACCGGAATAGTTGAAAATTTGAAAAACTCAGTGAAAAAAATCAACAATATCCACCATTGTTTAAGCAAAACACCATCTGGGTCGTCATTATCTTTCAGTTTTCTACTTTAGATCCATATTTCTAAGCTCATTTCTAGTTTTCTCGGGAAAACACTTTCCAGGAAAATTTACTATGGATGTGTCTATAATAGCTCTGCTGCTGTTCACGGCTGTAACTGCCTACCTGCTGTGGTTCACCTTCATCTCACGGTCATTGAAGGGTCCACATGTCTGGCCCTTATTGGGCAGCTTGCCGGGGTTGATCGAGAACATGGATCGCATGCATGAGTGGATCGCAGACAATCTTCGCGCGTGTGGTGGCACGTACCAAACCTGTATATGTGCCATACCATCCCTAGCTCGGAAGCAAGGTCACGTGACTGTCACGTGCGACCCGAGAAATCTGGAGCACATACTGAAAACCCGGTTCGACAATTACCCCAAGGGTCCCACGTGGCAAGCTGTATTTCATGATCTACTTGGCCAAGGCATCTTCAACTCTGATGGTGACACGTGGCTGTTTCAGAGGAAGACTGCCGCGCTCGAGTTCACAACTCGGACTTTGCGCCAAGCCATGGCTCGGTGGGTGAACCGAGCCATCAAGCTTAGATTTTGTCCGATACTCGAGGCGGCTCAGTTGGAAGCCAAGCCGGTCGATCTCCAAGACCTCATGCTCCGGCTCACTTTTGACAACATATGCGGCTTGGCTTTTGGACAAGACCCGCAAACCCTTGAGCCAGGGCTCCCCGACAACAGCTTTTCATCAGCTTTTGACCAAGCCACCGAAGCCTCGCTGCAACGGTTTATAATGCCAGAAGTCTTGTGGAAGCTGAAGAAATGGCTTCGGCTGGGTATGGAAGTCAGCTTGACCCGAAGCCTTGTACACGTGGATGAGTACTTGTCCAACATCATTAATACACGTAAGCTGGAATTGATGAGTCAGCAAAAAGATGGTAACCCTCATGATGACTTGCTCTCAAGGTTCATGAAGAAGAAAGAGTCCTACTCGGACAAATTCTTGCAACAGGTGGCACTCAATTTCATCCTAGCTGGACGCGACACATCATCGGCCGCCCTGAGCTGGTTCTTCTGGTTGGTCATCCAAAACCCAATTGTCGAAGAGAAAATATTGCGTGAAATTTGCACCGTCCTGATGGAGACACGAGGCGATGATGTGTCAGAATGGGTTGATGACGAGGCACTTGGGTTCGACGAAGTTGACCAGTTAGTATATCTCAAAGCTGCCTTGTCGGAGACACTCCGGCTATACCCGTCGGTCCCGGAGGACTCGAAGCATGTCGTGGCCGATGACGTGTTGCCAGATGGCACATTTGTGCCGGCCGGATCGTCGGTCACATATTCGATATATTCAGCGGGGAGGATGAAGTCAACGTGGGGGGATGACTGTCTAGAATTTAAGCCAGAGAGGTGGTTATCAGCTGATGGAAAGCAATTTGTGACGCATGACCCATTTAAATTTGTGGCGTTTAATGCCGGTCCAAGGATGTGTTTGGGGAGGGACTTGGCTTATTTGCAAATGAAGTCAGTGGCAGCAGCGGTTTTACTCCGCCACAGGCTGACGGTGGTGCCGGGCCACCGGGTGGAGCAAAAAATGTCGCTTACATTGTTCATGAAGTATGGGCTCAAGGTTGATGTGCACCAAAGGGATTTGAGAGAAATTGTGGCTAGTATTAAGGAGAGAGAGGGTGAGTTGCATGGGAAAGAGACTCCTAACTACTTTTAAGAGTTGGCGGTGGCCGTGGCAATGGGCAGTGGTGGTGGTGGCCGCGGCAGCTAAGGGTGGTGGTGGGTGGTGCTCTTTGATCTTATAGATATATTTCATTCATTGTTATGACAGAGAGATGCAATTTGTAAGAAGATAGAGAACTTTCATAACAGTTATTATTTTGTTTTTTGTTTGATTACTTTTGGTGAAGTGTCTCTCATTTCCTTGATGTAGGCAACTTTGCACAATCCTTATTTTTCTATTTATTTGATCCAGTGTAATTTTGGTTCTTTCCTATAAATAAAAACGGACTAGTTTAAATCAAATGTTGAATTTATTTGGTTGTTTTTTCGTTTTTTCATTTTCATTTTCTTGAAAACTTGTGGTAAAATACAACGAAGCATGACACCTTATGCTAATTTTGATCATGAAAAGCAAAATTGTTAAAAATACCCAGTCGTCTCTTAAATTTCTAATTTTTTTCATTCTGAATCAGGTTTATGGTTAGTAAATGTTTTTGAAGATCATTGCTCAACTGCATTCGCCCATTGATATTGTTGTGTGGGGTGTCTCAAATTCAACCCAAATGATATTGCCCTGTTGGCGACCTCAAGAACCCAATTAAAGGGAATGTGACAAGATTTTCCAATGTTGGTTTCGTCCCGGTATTTGTATTTGGATCTATTTTAACTCAGTTTGGTACTTTCATATTTTTATATATATTAAGTTGTTTTGGAGTTGCAAGATTTATGATGATCTTGTCAATTTTGAATGAAGGATTGAAAGAGAAGGAGAGAGCCAGTCCATTATATTCATAATGAAACTCCATCATTCTTAGTTTGCGAACTTGTGAACATATGCTTATTCCCAGATCACATAAATCCCTGTGTTCGTTCTGTTTTAAATTTTCTCATCCTCGCCTTTGCTATAACATATATATATATATATACAATTGGAACATTCACATTCCCACGTTTTCTGTTTCTTCTATTAATGGTAATACTAGGCAGTAAAGCATTCACATAATGTAAATGTTTAGTTGAGATTGAACTGGTGTATTATGAGATCTATGTATAGAACGAATTTAGACCACATTTGATATATCTCGATAAAATTCTAGGTAATGTTTCTGAAAACAACTCACTTTTAAAGAAACACCAAAAAAGTTGAATCGGAAAACAGTTTTTTTTACACAAAAATAAAACAAAGAGTGCTTCCAAACTATTCACTATTTTTGTTTCCAGAAATACGAAATCAAAGAAAACAGAGACAACCAAACAGACAGAGGTAAAGAATGAAACTAGCATTAAAGGGGCAACACAAGCTAGGACTGAAACAAAGTGAAGTTCCAAAAAGCTGAAGAGCAGAATTCTATAAATCCACTATAGAAGATTTTTGAGGTTGATATGAAGGTTGTTTTTTTTTTTTTTTTTTGACAGAGATCTTCACACCTATTTGAGTTTGAGGGGGGGTTATACATATATCATGGTGAGCATGGTTATACACCATGAGAACCACTCAAGCCACCCCATGGCGCACTCCCTAAGTCGCCTCTTTGGTGCACCACCACAAGCTTCTACATCGGTCCGGCATGACCCCGTAAACTGTCCCGACATTGATTCCGGTCAGCTTCTACAACGGTTCGACACGACCATACAGTGTCTTCACCAACGGTCTGACACGACCATACAGTGTCTCCTATCCACTTTTATTTGTCAGTTTATTTTTTACGTTTTGTTACTCTCTCCAAACTCAAGTTGGTTAGTATCTATCCTTCTTGAGTTTGAGGGGGGCTGTTAGTATATTATATGTATTATATGTTAGTGCATATCTATATTAGCTGTAAAATACCAACTAGCTTTAATAATGTTGTCTCCTTAGTGCATGCTTTCCTGTTTCTTCTTTCGGCCACTTTTGGCCCCTTTGTAACACTCTCTCCTCTATATAAGAGAGTCATCTGAACATTGTTAATTTCAAGTTTATAACACATTTCAATACATATTCAATACACAATTCTTTCTCTTTCTTTATAAAAAAAAAAAATTACGGTCAGCTTTTACAACGGTCCGGCATGACCCCGTAAACTGTCCCGACATTGATTCCGATCAGCTTCAACATTGGTCCGGCATGACCCCGTAAACTGTCCTGACATTAATTCCGGTCAGCTTTTACAACGGTCCAGCATGACCCCGTAAACTGTCCCGACATTGATTCCGATCAGCTTCAACATTGGTCCGGCATGACCCCGTAAACTGTCCCGACATTGATTCCGGTCAGCTTTTACAACGGTCCAGCATGACCCCGTAAACTGTCCCGACATTGATTCAGACATTATCTGCTACAACGGTGTGACACGATCATACCGTGTCTTCAACAACAATTTGACACAACCATACAGTGTCTCCTATCCTATTTTATTTTATTTATCAGTTTACTTTCCTGTTTTGTTACTCTCTCCAAACTCAAGTTGGTTAGTACCTATCCTCCTTGAGTTTGACAGGGGCTGTTAATGTATATAATATATCTACATAGATAATATATATAATCTATATACATAGATTAGATTAATGTATAGTTAGTGGCAGTAGTGGCATTGTGCTTTCGGCTGCTTTTCCTTTCTGTCCCTTTCCTGTGATGGTGTCTGTATAGCTTTAGCATCTTCCCATCTCCTATATATAAAGGAGTGTGTGTATCTATTGTAAATCAACAAATCAATAACATCTCATTTATGCACTTGCTCTCTCTTTCTATATACATAAACTCTTACACTATTCACTATTTTTGTTTCCAGAAATACGTAATGGAAGAAAACAGAGACAACCAAACATGACAGAGGTAAAGAATGAAACTAGCATTAAAGGGGCAACACAAGCTAGGACTGAAACAAAGTGAAGCTCCAAAAAGCTGAAGAGCAGAATTTTATAAATCCACCATAGAAGATTTTTGAGGTTGATATGAAGGTTGTTTTTTTTTTTTTTTTTGACAGAGCAAAGTATAGGAAAATGAAACAGAGGCAGTACCTGCAAGAAGGTCTCTGAAGCTGACCCACAAAATCGTCAGGAGCTGCAGTTTGAGGGCATCATAATTTAGTAAGAGAACTACAAAACCGGTGACATCTTAGCCACTGTCTTTTCATTAGATCTTCCAAGTTCCATGTATATTTGGTGTCTGATATTCCTCACATCTTATTTTTTGATCTCTTCTGTTATATAAGCTGCATCTCTCCTTTTTCTTGATAAAATTATCTGCTCTAGAATCTTCTCTCCGGTTGAAAAGATGTTCCAGACTATTGTGCCGATAATGTACAATGCAACCGACACCTTAAAAACATCATCCCAAGAACCTATAATATGGGTATTTTGAGAAGTAAATTAACAATGGAGTAAGCAGCCGCATTTTTGGCTTTTTTTTTGTTTTATTTTTTTTCTCTAAAAAAGCTGATGTGTTTGGTAATTGGTAAAAAGGTTGTCTTTTTGCTAGTGGAAAAGTTGGTTTTTAAAGATTGTTTAGTCCATGCCAAACATTGGATGCACCTTTTTGGAGAATGTATCCTGTTGCAGCTGTTCCAAAGACACCAGCTAGCACTCCCGCGGTATTGGATAGTCCCAACAATACTCCCTGCTGTAAGAAAAATTGAGAAAGAGAGAATAAATTGTATGTATATATTGATATATGTTGTTTCATTACAAAGGGAGCTTAGCTCTCATTTATAGCCTGTCATTGGATGCGAGGCATGCGAGACGCGAGGCACCGAAAGGCTAAAGCTAGCCGAAAGCATAAAGCTAACAAACATAATAATAACAACTAACGTATACAATGCTTAAAGAATAATAAACAATGCTAAAGTATAATAATATACTAACATCCCCCCGCAAACTCAAGGAGGGAAAGCATCAACCAAGTTGAGTTTGGAAACAAGAAAGAGTAACAAAACAAGAAAATAAAATAGGATAGGAGACACTGTATGGTCGTGTCGAACCGTTGTTGAAGACACGGCATGGTCGTGTCGGACCGTTGTAGCAGGACAGTTTACGAGGTCATGCCGGACCGATGTAGCAGACACTGTGTGGTCGTGTCAGACCGTTGTTGTAGAAGCTGACCGGAATCAATAACCTTTGATAGTGAACCATCTGCTATTCGGACCGTTAAATTATTTTGACATGAGTTATATGTATCAAAAATCGTTGCATCTCCCGTCATATGATCAGATGCTCCTGAGTCCACAATCCAAGGTTTTTTACGTTTCTTACTAACAGTAAAGGCGTTCAAAGAATTACCTTTGTGAGCCAAGGTTCCGGATCCTATGATGTGGTTGGAAGACGAACCAGATTGTGACTGTAGTAGTTTCTGGAGCATCTCCATTTGCTCCTTGGTGAAAGGGCTTGCTTCAGGTTGTGGTGATTGCGTTTTTTTTTTTTTTTTTTTTTTTTTGGTATTTTAAAGAAAATAAATAAAGAAAGAAAATAAAATAAAAGAAAGAAAGTTGAGCAGTGCTGCCGAGAGGGAGAAATAAAGAGCCCCTTTTGTTTTTGTTTTTGTTTTTGTTTTTGTTTTTGTTTTTTGTTTTTTTTTTTTAATGAATAAAAAAAAAGAAAGATAAAATAAAATAAAAGAAAGTGAAAATGGAGCCCGCGGTGGTTTTGTTCAAACCAACCCATGATGGTGCTAGCCATTAAATTAATAAAATATGAAAGAGACATTGATTTGGGTGTAGGGTGGCCCATTGATTTGGGAAAACCAGCACATGGTTTGTTGGTTTTGTTTGTTCAAAAAATATTGTTTTAAAAAAAAAAATAGAAAGGGAGGTGGTGGAGGATAAGGTGATGAATAAAAAATAAAATAAAGGAGGAAGTCCGAGAGAGAGAGAGGTGCCGAGAGAGTGAGAGAGCTCGGTTAGAGAGAGAGAACTGGGTTTGGTCTTCTGTGTGTGTCACGGTGGGGTCACATGAAAATGAGTCGATCTGGTTGGCAGCCATGGACGATCGCACAGAGCGAGAGAGAGAGAAGAGATGCCATTAGGCAGATTATGTTCTCCTCCTCATCCCTCCAGCGAGAGAGAGCGGATGTGGTGATATAAAAAGGTTGGCGCTGGTAACGTCGATGCACCAGCGACGGCGAATCACGACGGTAATGGTTGGTGGTACACGATTAGAGTTGAGGAGAGAGAGTTGATTGTTGTGTGTGTGTATGTCGGGATGGCAGTGGTGGTGTGGTGTCTGTGGCAGTGTGACAGCAACGGGGGTGTGGTGTGTGATGGCAAGGGTGGCGTGTGTTGCCTCATGCGTGTGTTGGGGTTGAAGAATCAATCAGAGAGGCAAAAGCCGAAGCGGAGGAAAGAGAGAGGCGGCAACTGAGCTGTCCATACTTACCGGTGGCGTGTGTATGCCTCTGCTGGGTGTGAAGGTGCTACCCGTGGGTGTGATAAGTGTGTATGAAGCTCTATCTATGGCAGCGTGTAGGAAGCTCTGTGTGTGTATGAAGCTCGGGAGAGAAAGTTGATTTTTTTTTTTTTTTTTTTTTTTTTGCTCAAGAATGCTCCTCCATGCACCGAGGGAGAGAAGAGTATGATAGCACAAAGAAAGGTAATCCGAGGGTCCAGAGAAGGGTTTGGATTGATGAGAGGAAAAGTGGGATCCAACGGTTGTGATCAGATCTGGTGCTGCGGTGGTGAAGTGTTGTTGAAGAATCTGCCATTGAAGAAGAATTTAGGAAAAATTTGGGTTTGTCCGGCGGGCGGTCAAAGCGAGGTTGCCGCCCGCCGGTGAAGCGAAATTACTAAATTGTTAACCTAGCTCTGATAACATGTAAGAAAAATTGAGAAAGAGAGAATAAATTGTATGTATATATTGATATATGTTGTTTCATTACAAAGGGAGCTTAGCTCTCATTTATAGCCTGTCATTGGATGCGAGGCATGCAAGACGCGAGGCACCGAAAGGCTAAAGCTAGCCGAAAGCATAAAGCTAACAAACATAATAATAACAACTAACGTATACAATGCTTAAAGAATAATAAACAATGCTAAAGTATAATAATATACTAAAATTGAAAATTATAGCTAAGAATTTCTCCTGAAACATTTTAAAATTTGTTTTTGTAAATTTTCTTGCCAAGATATGCAAGGAAGAAACAAGTTTGATATGGGCAACAAGCAAAGATATAATTAAGGATCTCTTCTCAAATAATCATTGAAAATTCTATTCAAAGAACCACAAATTAAATCATAATAATGGTGAAACTTTCCACCTGAAAAATATGATTGATGTTTGAAATCTTTTTTACTTTTCCACTCTATTTACTGGGATTTAATCACTTCATATTTTGAGAAATAACCTTTACAAAAAGATTATATTCATAGCTAGGAATCACGAGAGAGAAGCAATATTTGATTTTGTGTAGGATAGAGATAGAGATAACTCACAGCATATCGGGGCCCAATGTCTTGGTGATTGGAGTAGAGGCCAGACTCTGAGAATGCATCTGATCCCTGCAAAGAGAACAAAAACGTATATTTACAAGATTTTGGCCAAATATAAAACTGAATTTTTGTTTTAAATCATTGTAAGAGTCATTCTTGTCATTCACAAGCAATCTAATGCACTTATAAGTACTGTGAAATAGTAGAATTCATTATGGCTGTATTTGGATCATGAATTTGGATAGGGATTTGATAGTATTTACCATCATCACCCTCACAGTTACTCATCTTTAAATAACTTGTTCTGTTAAGTTGGCTATGTGTAAGATTTCTGTAATACAAATGCTGAAAGGTCAACTATTCCTAACGTTTGAGAGATTGAATTGAAATCCATTGAACAAACCTGACTGCATACCATGCATAGCACTGCTAAAGCAGGTGTCTTGACATGGCTCAGCTGTGTAAGGAAGAAGGCAGGCCCCAAAAATCCAATTGATTGCATTATCTGCAGTGTTAAAAGGTTTAGAGAAGAATTACTACCAATACTTCCCATTGACCTTGAAACAGTCGAACGTAAAGGTTACTTTGCTGTTTATAAACTTCTATTTTAGAAAAAGATGCAGATGATTTCTCCATTTAGAAAATATTTTCACATTACATGTATGTTTACAAAAGAGAGCAGTATTGTATATTGTTCTCGCCTTACGAACTGTTGTTACAGAAAGACCTTTGCTCACAAGTGTGTCAGTAATCCATCCTCCTATATTTGCAAACACAGCCATGGTCAACCAGGGCAATACACAAAGAAGTCCAGACTCCGTGAGGTTGAACTTCAACACCTGAGAAAAAACCACAATCAAAAGGGAAAATACCTTGGATTGTTAATTATTTAATGGTTCCATGAGCTCTAAAGCAGACACCATAAGTGGGCTCTGTAGCCATGGTGGACACGAATAGAACACGGATATTGCGAGGAGTTGGGACACATAAAGGACACACTTGCTGGCATGTCCATTTTTTTAATAATTTTTTTCCTAGGGGACATGTGGGAACACAGTAAGGGCACGGTTTGGGAAATGATGGGGTTTTATTTAAATTTTTCAATGCTAATTTTGGGGGTCTGTAATATTTGGAAGCATGAAGATTGAACTTTTAAAAATATATAGAACTCTCATCTAACCAGCAACAATGCAACACAGATCTAAACATAGTTGTGAAGTTGAGAGTCTGACTTCTAATGCAACACAAATCTAGCCTCTAGCTGATTTAAATTTTGCTTTTGTTTGTTTGGTTTTTTTTTTTTATATGTTAAACTAGTGTAGTTTTCATTAATTTTAGTTGTTTATGGCAGTAATATTTAAATAAATAGCAAATCAAATATTTTTTTTTTCCATATCTCCACATTGCACATATCCTTTTTTTTTTTTAATGGCTGCGTCCCCCCGTGTCCATTTTCGATGATAGAACAACAGAAACACAACAAAATTTGTGGGAGATGTACCATCATTAATTTAGATTATCCAGCATAAGAAATATGGAGATTGAAATATAATATATATATATATATATATAGTTATATATATCAAAAAGTTATCTGACCTATTGCCAGTTGACAATGTCTCACATACTTGATTGTAGTACGTTGGCATCCATGTCAGAAGAATGAAAGTTCCCCAGTTATGGCAGAAGTGGGAGATAATGAGAGCCCAAACAGGTGCCTTTGATAAAATTAGTTTCCAAGGAATAACAGTCACAGGTTCCTTTGAGTTGCTGCCTCCCAAGATAAGCCTTTTTTCCTCTGCACGAAGCTCTGGATCTTCATTGGGTGAGCTATGTGCCTAGTAGAAGTCAGAGTCGAAAAGAAGTTCCAGAGATCTTCCATGAGAAGGTGTCTAAAATGCAACTTGGGTTAACTCACTATATACATAGAGAAATAGGCCAAGGAGAAAATGGGCTGAGGTGATAAAGAACATGATTGCCTTAAACTTAACTAAAGATGTGATTTCAAATAGAACCAACAAAAGAAATGGATCCACGTAGTTGATTCCAAGGTTAGGATCTAAAAAAAAATCATGATGCTTAAATGAAGCGAACAGCCATATGTGTAGTAAGAATTTGTCCTCTAGTATGGGGACTCTAAAAAAAAAAAAAAAAAACATGCAAAGAATCTAAACATGCTTGATATCCTCAAACATGTGAAAGACTACAAACATTTGTTTACTTTGAGGAAGTATCTAATCCTCCAAGAAGCAAAATGTTTAGTGCAGTCATATTTCTATCTAAAGGTCTTGACTTCAAGTTGTCGTGACCAGGATATGGAAATTAATTATACACTTTCTATTGCCGTGCTTCTCGTGTAGGAGTAAGGATTCTCTAGAGTGATTTTTCCCTAAAGTTTCCTAAAGTGCTACAGTATATGGTTGAGATTTACTGGCAAGTCACATCAATTTTTCTGATGTGACTTGCCAGTAAATCTCAACCACACAATATAGCACTCTAGGAAACTTTAGGAAAATTTCACTCTAGAGGATCCTTGGTGCTCGTGTAGTGTGGTTCCAAGGAAGCAAATATAATTGTGTTGTTGGTCAAGCAACCGTGTAAAATTGGTCTTTTACTTAATAAGGAACTGATTTGTGCAAATTAAACTTGTCAACTCTAATGTAAGTAAATAAATGAATGCTTACTTTAGATAACCGTAATGCAAACCAGATACTTCCAAGGAGCCAAATGAGTAAAACACGAATGACCACCCAAAGTTGTGAATTAAAATGGGAGAGAAAGCCAGCCCTGTAACAGAACCAAGATACATGCCACTGTATACAAGTGCAAGTGATCTGCTTCTCTCGGACACAGGAATCCACTTAGAAAGTATATTATTCATGGCAGGCATAGCGACACCCTGATAAGAAAAAAAGTCAATTCTTCAAACAATCAAAATCCTGTATATCTGTAAGACAGGGAACTAATGAAAAAAGTTAAGAGACATGAGAGATATTGCAGCTGTTTTCAGTGTTACAACTAATGAAAACTAGCAATACGTTTCAAAATCCCAAACCAGTTTCTGTATTGGTGGCTGAATTTGACATTTAGCTGACAAACTTGCAGCTTCAGGCATCACAGCATCCCACACTATAATATAGTGTAGAGGGATTTTTTTTAGGTAATCATATTGAGATGTAGGATTGTTGTCCCAACAACACCCAATTGGTGCTTCAGGAACCGGACACCCAATTTCACAGGCAAAACAAGTCTAATTTTCATCATCTATTATGGGTCTAACTACAACAATTAATATCATCTATAGGCAGACTAGATTCAAACTTGAACAAAGGCTACATGAATAAACTTTAAAAAGCTCAAAGCAATAAAATCAAAAACAATTCTCAACACCCTCACGAGGTAGTGATGAGTTAAACTGCTCGTGTGTTGGCATGGAAATCAGCCCGGTAAACTGATTCCATTCTGCTACTAGGGTTCTAAACCTTCCCCCAAAGAATGTAAACAACTAATAGTTTTGAGACAAATGTAAACTATTGTTGGAATACTACACAATCGGAAACTTTTTTGAATGATATTCAATAAAAGAAGATTCTGCAAAATTTGAGACAAATGTAAACATCAAATAGTTTTGAGAGCTAGATTAAACTACTCCTGTTGGCTTGGAAATCAGCCCAGTAAACTGATTCCATTCTGCTACTAGGGTTCTAAACCTTCCCCCAAAGAATGTAAACAACTAATAGTTCTGAGACAAATTGTAAACTATTGTTGGAAAACTACACAATTGGAAACTTTTTTGAATGATATTCAATAAAAGAAGATTCTGCAAAATTTGAGACAAATGCAAACATCAAATAGTTTTGGGATAGATCCAACTAGTCCTGTCAGTCACAAAAGCACCACAAGGTAACATAAGAAGAGGCCAACCTCACCAATCCCCATACAGGCACGCAAGGTAAGTAAGAAAGGAAGCCCAACTCTGGCAGCAATAGGTATCAAAATCGTTGAAACTGACCACCAGATCACTCCAAAACCCAGTACTAGTTTCCCACCAACTTTATCTGCCCATATACCTCCTACAATCTATTTGTCAAAGAAAAATAGACAATAACCGGTTAGTAGAAAAGGCTGGATAGAATTAAGTTTTGACCTTTCAAGCAAAAAACCTCATTGACAGGCCAAGCCCATAAAAAGTGCATGTCTTTGAAAAACCAAATCCTGAAAGAAACAATACGGTAAGTGAGAGGGTAATTTGTAAACAAATTGTGCCGAGCTAGGAAAAGTCTTCTTTGGAAGTTGGGCCGCGCAATGGGCCGAGATAAGGGCTGGTATAGCTCGGTGTTAGGCCAAGAAGACATCTCATATTTCGGATTTAGGCCGAACTATGGGCCGAGGTGTTTGGGTTTCGCAAGTTGGACCTCGTCCTTGTTAATTCGGTCGGAGACTGCTGCAGTTACCTCAGTCTAAACAGACAAAACCGAGGTAACATCAATAGCGAGGGTCGAGCTGTGTATAGCTCGGTAGGGTGGCATTCGATAGATCGGCTTTCGATCAGACGATCCGAATGGCAAGGGACCGAGATAAGGCAGTTCGGTCAGAAATGTATAACCGAGGTAAAGGGTTCGGCCATCTCACTTGGCTTGCAGTGATGAAACTCCTAGTAGGACTCTGCTAAGGAAAGTGAGAGTCCTACTGGGATTGTGTAAACCATCTCACTTGGTTGGTAGTGAGTAGGAGTATGACTCCTAGGAGGACTCTGCTAAGGAGAGTAGAGTCCTACTGGGATTGTGTAAACCATCTCACTTGGTTAGTAGTGAGTAGGGTGTGTGATTCCTAGAAGGACTCTCATAGGGAGAGTTGGAATCCTTCTAGGATTGTGCCAAGTAAAGTTTATAAAAGCTCGTGATCAGACCTATGTACTGATATCCCAATTCTTACTCTAGAATACACAGAGCTTATTGTCTATTGTCTAGTTGCTGACTTAGGCATCGGAGGGGTTTCCGGCACACGCCGATTAGCTCACGTTTGTGTTTTCAGGTGGCAAAGCAACGTTGTTTGGAGGAGCGCAAACTTGATCAACAGGATCATACGAGAAGAAATATTTCGTGCCCGCACAATTGGCGTCATCTGTGGGAAATTCACAAAGAGCAAAACCTCTTGATCAAGTTTTCCTTTCTAGTTGAAAGCAATGGCGCATAATGAAGACTTGCCGCAATCTGCTATAGATGGGCAAACTCCGGAAGGGGGTGGGAGGCGCGAAGGTTTACCATTTATCCCACCCATGGCAGAATTAGATCCCTAGCGAAGGAATCCACGGAGAGAAGCAAGAAGAAGACAGGGCTCAAGTCCATACCGCTCTCAGAGCCCTGATAGACAGAGGCGGAAGATGGATCATCAGGTTCTCGAAGATCGCGTAAGGGAGCAAGACGAAATAATAAGAAGAATAGCGGCTGACATAGAGTTTATGAAGAGCGAGATAAAAAGCAAAGGGGTGGCAACAAAAGAGGGGGGCAGAGGCAACACACAATCACAAACTAAAAGTAAAAGCCTCAGGTCGGGTGATACACAATCAAAGACTTCCAGGACACGCTACTCCAGACCTGAGAGAAAGAAGACTGAAAGGGCTCGAATGAGAGAAGACACTCAGGCTCGTGACCCCCGCAGAATCTCCGCACTACAACGATTGGCTCCTAGAACACATAGGAGTGTCGAGGTTGGAATTCCAGAACCACGCATTGCCTATGAACCAGCAGACAAAGCATTAGCAAGGTTGCAGAGCTCACCGTTCATCCCGACAATTGAGGACGCACCATTACCCTTAGGCTTCCATCAGCCTAAATTCATAACTTATGAGGGGGAGTCAGACCCCTACATACACTTAAGCCACTTTCGCCAGGTTATGGCCGTGTATCGACGAAACGAGCCCTTAATGTGTATCATGTTTCCGTCCAGCCTTGGCGACATAGGTTTAACATGGTTTGAAGGGTTACTAGAAGGTAGTATAGCCTCATGGGCGCAACTAACGGAGGCATTTGTAACCAGATTCAGAACAAACACCAAGACACCAGTGGAAATTGACCAGCTTTTTTCCATCAACAAGGGCGAGAAAGAAACGTTGAAGTCTTACGACAATCGGTATTGGGAGACCTTCAACCAAGTAACAGATTGTCCTACAAACCTAGCTATTGCACAGTACAAGTAAGGTCTGTTAATGGGTCATAAATTGAGGTATTCAATAACAATAACGCCACCTCTTACTATAGAAACCCTGATGGAGCGAGTGCACCAGCACATCTTGGTAGAGGAAGATGGGATGCACACCAAGGTAGAGTTCGATACAAATAGCGATATCGGACAGAACACCTTCGGCAAAAGTTAGCACGGTTGGCAAGAAGGACTAACCAAGTGCAAAAGTCTTTGCCCGACTGGGGGGCAACCAAAAAGCTTGGCAAGAATGGCCAAGCATTTACCTCTCCTAAGTCCAGGATAAGGATCCAGGCTGCAGGACGTTTGGTCAGAATAACCAAACACTTTACTCTAGGTTGGCCGGAATAACCAACTTAGAGGTTGGCTGGAAAAACCAACACCCCTCCTAAGCCCAGGATAAGGATCCAGGCTGCAGGACGTTTGGTCGGAATAAACAAACACTTTACTCTAGGTTGGCCGGAATAACCAACTTAGAGGTTAGCTGGAAAAACCAACACTTTTCCTAAGCCCAGGATAAGGATCCAGGCTACAGGACGTTTGGCAGGAATAACCAAACACTTCACTCAGAGTTGGCCGGAATAACCAACACTGAGCTCTCTTCAGCCAAGATAAGGATCTGAACTGAAGAGGTTGGCTGGAAAAACCAACACTTACTTTTCCTAAGCTGAGATAAGGATCTAGGCTGCAGGAAGTTGGCAGGTATGTCCAACAAAAATTTTTAAACTCTTTGGCCGGGATGATGGTTACCTCGGCCAAAGCAGGTTGGCAGGTTTGACCAACAAATTTTTGAAACTCTTTGGCCGGGATGATGGTTACCTCGGCCAAAGCAGGTTGGCAGGTTTGACCAACACAATTTTGGGAACTCTTTGGCCGGGATGATTGTTACCTCGGCCAAAGCAGGTTGGGAGGTTTGACCAACAAAATTTTTTGAACTCTTTGGTTGGGATGATGGTTGCCTCGGCCAAAGCAGGTTGCCAGGTATGACCAACACAATTTTGGGAACTCTTTGGCCGGGATGATGGTTACCTCGGCCAAAGCAGGTTGGCAGGTATGACCAACACAATTTTTGAACTCTTTGGCCGAGATGATGGTTACCTCGGCCAAAGTAGGTTGGCAGGTATGACCAACAAAATTTTTGGAACTCTTTGGCCGGGATGATGGTTACCTCAGCCAAAGCAGGTTGGCAGGTTTGACCAACAAAATTTTGAATTCCTGGACCGAGATGGTTATCTCGGCCAAAATAGGTTGGCAAGGTTAGTATAAACCGAGTTAGTCTACTCAGCGAGACACAGAAATAACGACTGGCCATACGATTGCAAACTCGAAGGATATATACGTTGAAGGCAAAAAAGCAAGGCTATTCAAATTTTTGGCATGACGGTGGTAACAGGAGAACGAGGACATTGGGGGCACGCCATGTATCTTGGGAATGACGTCGTACCAGATTAGTGGAAGAACATATTGAGCAACTGACAAGGCTTATTGGGGCTGAACAAACTTTTTAGCTCGGCAGAGTAGGGCATTCTTAGCTCGGCTGGAGGAAAAATAATCTCAATCATGATACGTAGATGGAATTAAGGGGCAATTGAGAGGGTAATTTGTAAACAAATTGTGCCGAGCTAGGAAAAGTCTTCTTTGGAAGTTGGGCCGAGATAAGGGCTGGTATAGCTCGGTCTTAGGCCAAGAAGACATCTCATATTTCGGATTTAGGCCGAACTATGGGCCAAAGTGTTTGGGCTTCGCAAGTTGGACCTCGTCCTTGTTAGTTCGGTCAGAGACTGTTGCAGTTACCTCGGTCTAAACAGACAAAACCGAGGTAACATCAATAGCGAGGGTTGAGCTGTGTATAGCTCGGTAGGGTGGCATTCGATAGATCGGCTTTCGATCACACGATCCGAATGGCAAGGGACCGAGATAAGGCAGTTCGGTCAGAAATGTATAACCGAGGCAAAGGGTTCGGCCATCTCACTTGGCTTGCTGTGATGAGACTCCTAGTAGGACTCTGCTAAGGAAAGTAAGAGTCCTACTGGGATTGTGTAAATCATCTCACTTGGTTGGTAGTGAGTAGGAGTATGACTCCTAGGAGGACTCTACTAAAGAGAGTAGAGTCTTACTAGGATTGCATAAACCATCTCACTTGGTTAGTAGTGAGTAGGGTGTGTGATTCTTAGGAGGACTCTCATAGGGAGAGTTGGAATCCTTCTAGGATTGTGCCAAGTAAAGTTTATAAAAGCTCATGATCAGACCTATGTACTGGTATCTCAATTCTTACTCTAGAATACACAGAGCTTATTGTCTATTGTCTAGTTGCTGACTTAGGCATCGGAGGGGTTTCCGGTACACACACGCCGGTTAGCTCACGTTTGTGTTTTCAGGTGGCAAAGCAACGTTGTTTGGAGGAGCGCAAACTTAATCAACAGGATCATACGAGAAGAATTATTTCATGCTCGTACAGTAAGGACATCAGCTCATCAAGGGCAAAATGAAGAGTGAATCAGTATTTCAAATGTACAATCACCAAAGCATGTTGACTATAATTTTGACCACTGGCTTAGGTGATGAGTGCCAGACCTTGCAGATCCAAAAATCATGGCAGTTCAACAGTTGTTCCCAGATAAAAATGTAAATTATAACCCATAATATGTGATTAAAAAAAGAGTGAGCAATAATTGACATTGTTACAATAATGGGTGTGTGTGTCAGATATATCTACATTAAAATTCTAAAATTTTCAAGTATTAAGGTTGACAAAATGTATGAATGGCATTTGAAGATCAAAATCAAAAGCCAGTTCTAGACAAGTTAAAAGAATCAAAATCCCGCAAAACTATTTGAGTTGTAGAAGTTTGAACAAGCACTTATCGGGAGATTAACAAGAACTTGTCTAGAGAATAACATTACTACTAAATTGACTTTGGAACTATGCAAAAAACTGTCAATATTTGAGTCAAACCTGAGTGAGGAGATAGCCCCAGAAAAAAGAAGACTGAATAAGACCAACTGTTGCACTGTTCCAGTTGAACTCCTGCGACATTGGAAGTATCGCAATGCTCATGTTCGCCTAAAATGGAAAATTAGAGTGGTTAACATATGAAATATGATCCCAAAAAATTATCAATATAGTAGAAGCACCTTGCAACTACTTGGAGAAAAAATATTCAGGACAGCTAAAATCCGCCAGTAAAATTATTTTATTCTAAAGATCTTATAGTTTAGTGATTGTATCACTTTATTCTTAATTATTTAATTATGACACAGTTGATCTTGAATTTTGAATACTTTAGATAAGAACAATTGAATACATCATTACTCAATTTCTAGGACAAAGTCGTCAATTTGATAAAATATAAATTAATTTGACAAAAATAAATGTCAGAAAAAATTATTAAATTTTTAAAAATTATTTCTACCTACCAATGATAAAATTATGTAAAATTGATAAATTTTTTACATAGTTATTTATTTATTTTTTTACCAAATTAATTTATATTATATGTTTGGATGTTGATCATGTAATGATGGTTGTTTTTATTTTCATTAAATTAGTTTTAATTTTTTCAAAAGTCAAATATGGTGACAACTTTGATACCATTGTTAAATCAATCCATTAAATCAAAAAATTCAAAACTAAAAACATTTCATATATAAAATATATCGATTACACATTAAAAGCCTAACAACCACCCATTATATGATTATCATCCAAACATATAATAAAAATTAATTTAGTAAAATATATATATATATATATATATAAAAGATTTATCAATTTTACATAATTTTATTTTTTGTGGGTAGAAATAATTTTTAAAAATTTTAAAATATTTTTTTGACATTTATTTTTGTTAAATTAGTTTATATTTTATTAAATTGACTACTTTGCCATTCAAATTGAGCAATGGTATCTTCAATTATCCTTATTTGGAACAAGATTCAAAATTTATAGTCAAATGTGTAAAAGTTAGGGACCAAAGTGACACAAGTCTCAAATTATAAGGACTATTAGTATAATTCGCCTAATTATTTTCTAGCGGCATAGAAATAACCATACTAAATTAAAAAATTCATATTTCAGATACAATAATAATTTGTGCAAAAGAACTAGAATTTAACTCACGCAATCCATGTTGCACAACAGAAATGTAGAAAAACAGAGCAGCACTATCACCCAGCGCTTTGGAAACTGCTCCCACCAAGGTTTTATTTGCTGCACCCCTTCCACTAATGTTATGTTTGGTTGAGGGATTTGAGGAGAGATTTGGAAAGAGAAATGAAAAAGGTATGTGAAATGTGAAAAAAACATGCCTACATTTCACATAGTTTCACACACCTTTTCCATTTTCCTTTCCAAATCCCTCACAAAATCTCCCAACCAAACCCAGCGTAAAGAAACCTCGTTTGCCCCCTCTGATGACACAAATGAGTCCATCTCTGTTCCTGTTATGTCAAATTCCTCAGATTTATAGCCAGTACGGGCTATGTTTCCTTTCATATGCTTTGAAAGCAGGTGTTGCCTGTTGTTGATCTCAAGTTTATCTAGCTTTCTTGGTTGAACCCAATTGCAGCAAGAGGGAGTTGAAGCAAGACAGCATTCACATGTTCTAATTCTTTGCCTAGGATTAATGCTCCCATCATCATGGAATGTTAAGTTTGATCTCAGAGATTTATTGTTCAAATGACCAACAACACAAAGTGTTGGATTATAAGAACAGCTTTCCCTCCGTACACATAAGCATTTGTGGAACATCTTTCTATGCACATACTGTGCAACAGCAAATCCTGGCCACTCTCCTTGGTGATGTGCTGTAGTTTCTTCTTTCTGATATACTTTTCCTGCCAAAATAATAAGTTACTAAATGAAAACACCAAGTTGAATTGTACCTAATTTAAAATGTAGGACGATTTGAAATGAAAAAACATAAAACTTGATTGAACGCAAAACCAGTGCAATGAACTCCCCAATGATCTAAAGAATTCATTGATTTTGAAATGTTGCATAAAACAAATTACAGCCCATTTTGACAGATTTGGTGGTCTTTGGTGGTCAACTGACCTTAGTCTTCCTCAAATCATCATAAATTCCAGCAGCTTCCCAGCAAAAAAATAGCCCCTAATCACTATAACACAAGCTTGCATGCAATTAGCATTAAAAAAAAAAAAATTAAGGGAAAAGAAAAAAGAAAAAAGAAGAAGAAGAAGGTTGCATGCAAATAAGCACATCTGTGCCACAATTTGTTGCAGCATTGTTCTATGGGAAAGAAGCATCATGAGATTCATAAATTAAGTTAAGCTTGAGGATATAGAAAAATGAATTGTCAGTCCAGGATAGAATTGGAAACCTATCCTAATACATTTTAACAATATTTCAATTATTTGACTGAATTTAATCCAGATTTCGTAATCACTTATCCAAATATTCATAAGAAAAAAAAAATCTATTATATATAGATTAACTTGGACGTTTCATTTAGGAATTACTCCGTGCTTTTTTCCAGTCCAAAAACTTTATCCCACATCAATCTGGTTGTTTGCATGAATATTGAAAAAATCTCGAAACCTAACCATGTTCCAATATGAATGAGCTCCAAGGATACACATAAAAGAAACAGGATTCCCAATAAGGAATTTTTTTTTCCTGTTGAGGACATTATATATGCATTTCAAATTAATGAAAACCGAAGCATTTAAGGATAGACTTTAACTGGTAACTGGTAACAGCCCACAAGTGAGTGAAAAGATAAATTTTTTTAATATTAAACCATCCTTTTTTTTTGTTTAAACACCAATACTACGTACCCAAAAAATACCTAATGAAGTGCACAAAATTTGAAATGTGATGATCAAATTCATTATTGTTTCCCACACCACATCAAATTTAAATCAACACCATATATTCAAACTCTTGGCACTTTTCCAGGTATTCTAGGTAACATTTGGTTTTTGAAAAATGATGTGTCCTGAATTTCACTGTTTTTTTCATATCTCTTACAGAGGCTTTTCCCAAACTAAGCCTCTTTTGCATCGTATTTCCCAAACTAGGCCTCTTTTGGACGTATTTCCCAAACTAGGCTAAAACGTTATTCCGAATAGCGCTTTCACTGTTTGGAGCCCAAAATTTTGTGAATAGTAAAAACGCTATTTCAAATAGCGATTTTAATTAAGAAAACGCTATTCCAAATAGCGCTTTTATCATAAACTTTTCTTGCGAATAAAATGCTATTTCTAATAGCGCTTCATTTCTGGAATAAGGTTTCTAAGAAAACGCTATTTCGAATAGCGATTTCAATGTCCATTTCGTTTGTGAAATAGCGTTTTCTTCGTTAATTAATGAAAACGCTAATTGCAAAAACGCTTTTCAAGCTCTATAAAACACGGGTATACCCCCTCATTTGCAGTCACGTTGCAAATATATATATATAATTTTAAAAAATTTATTTGCTGCACCCCTTCCACTAAAGAAACCTCGTTTGCCCCCTCTGATGACACAAATGAGTCTGTCACGACCCCATTCCGCCCCTAGTAGAATGGTGCCGTGATGGCCAGTAATCCGAGATTACCAAAGGCCAACTTTCAAAATTCACACACAATCAGAGTATTACATATAGGGCTAACATGTGCGGAAGCAATATATTTAAATCTAAGTAGTCCATAAAAGCTGTGCATAGATCAAATGAAATGACATACATCTTAGCATGGTTTTACAACTTGAATACAAATAAAATAAAGTACATGTTACATCTTGATCAAAAGGCTTCTCAAGCCGACATATACAAAATACATGAAATATAAAGTCAAAAAGTATAATCTTCAAGATGCCGACGTGACATGAATCCAAAAACATCTTGCAAAACAACACATCTCGGCGTCACCGCCTTCATGCTTGTTACGTATATATATATAAGAAGAGGGTGAGCTTGGATACTCAGTGAATGGTATAAGTAATAAAGGGGTTAAATGAATGATTCCCGAGGTCCTTGTCAAAACAATACATATATCATAGCTTGTTCAGAACATGGGATGAATCAAGTTCATCAATCAAATCTTGGTCTTTCAAATCTTCTTGGGATGTTTAATAACATCTACATAATACATGGGGTGATGACATTCCTGACAAAACAAACCCATCGTTCATAGACCGTCGGTGGCAAAACAAGACAAAACAAGGGAATAATCGACCCAGAATCGATTAGACAAATCCACCCGTACACCAGACCGTTAGTGGGGCCATCCGTTCATAGACCGTCGATAACAAATCCACCCGTTCACAGACCGTCGGTGGGGCCATCCGTTCATAGACCGTCAATGACAGATATCTCTCAAACATGATGCTACATGGACTTAAAGTCCCCTAGCATGGGAGGACTTTCCAAGAATGTCATCAAAACAAGATAATGCTTGATACAAAAACTAGGGATAATCATTCATGCTTGACAAATACTTTCAAAACAAAGCAGAGCAAAGCCTTTATCAAAACGTATAACATAGCTTTATTAAAATACCACTCACATAGTTCTTGGGACGTCGGGATCAAGGCAAAGGTCCAAGTCCTATAAACACATGGCAAAGTCTATTGAATGTACTCTTAAAAATAAGCTTTACATGAATGCAAATGATCTAGGGAAAATATGTTGGAAGTTAAAACACTGTTTTTCATCTAGGGAAAACATGCTGGATTCTTCTAGGGAAAACATGCTGAATTCTTCTAGGGAAAACATGCTGGGTACCAACCAGGTCCTGGAATGGATGCACAGAGATGATTTAGGCTAAAATGACCTAGCTGGGTGAACTCAGGAGGTCTTGGCCGAGGTCCCACACCTCTTGGCCGAGGTGTGGTTACCTAGGCTTTAGTGTGCAGCTGCCTGCCGAGGTGTTACAAGGTGCCAGCAATGGTGCACCATGGTCGGCCTAGGTGTGCAGTGGTTAGCCTAGGTGTGCAGAGCTTGGCTTAGGTGTGCATGCAAGATAAACTAATGTGCAAGTGATCATGCAAGGTAGGCCAAGGTGAGAACCGATGCTTGGCCTAGGTGTGTGATCTAGGCAAGAGTGGTCTCAGTG